CTCAGGTGTTGCAGTACAGCCTGCCTAGAAGGCGTAGAGGTATACGACGCCCGGTATTCAGGGAACAGAAAGAGAAGGAAGATATAGAGAGACGAGAAACTGAGCAATGAAGAAAGACAAAAAGGGAAAAAGAGGAAAAAGAAAATAAAACAAATTAAAACAAACAAACAAACAAGAAAGGCCCCCAAAGAAACAGAAAAAAAGAACAAACAAACAAGAAAGGCCCCCAAAGAAACAGACAAAAAGAAGGAAAAGAAAAAAACATAAAAAGAAATGTCCTGAGGGATCCCTCTGCACTTCTGTGGAAGCTGGAGGGGCGTCTCCCTGCTACGCAGCTCAGCCTGGCCAGAAAGGGCTCCCAACTCAAGAAAAGGAAAAGAAAACAAACAACAATTCAAAAGAAAGAAATAAACAAAATCCCTGGGATCCCACCAGCGCGGCAGCCCAGACTGGGAAGCAGCTCCACACTTGAATGGAGATCCACAGCCCCTCAGGAAGAAGCAAAGATGGCTCACAGAGCCAGGTACTTGAGCGAGGGGTGGGGGAGGTGGCGAGAGGCAACTAAGAAATCAAAAGAAGTGGAGAAAAAAAAGCAACACTAGCAGCCAACAAATGGCACTCAGAGAGCCAGCTAGTGTGGGTTGGTGTTTCTGGACAACAGACTGTGTCCGTGGGAAGCAGAGGGGGCTGAGTTGAAGAAGGGTAGAGATTGGGAAAGCGTATATCACAAATTACTGGAGCTCTGCAGCCCCTCAGGAAGAAGCAAAGATGGCACAAGGAGTGAGGTACTCGAGCGAAAGGAGGGGGAGGTGGGGAGAGGAAAGGAAGAAATAAAAAGAAGCGGAAGCAAGCAACACCAGCAGCCAACAAATGGCACTCAGAGAGCCACCCATTCGGGTGTGTGGAATCCAAGCAGCCGCTGTTTCCCGGTCAAGAGACTGTGGCCACGGGAAGCAGAGGAGGTTGAGTCAGGGTGAAGAAGGGTGGGGGGTGAGAAAGCGTATATCGCCAATTACCAGTTGTTTTGTCACCCGCTGGAAGCTCTGTGAGGCTGCTTTCTCATACCCCCTGTTTGCTGGTCTCCGATAGGAGTCCAAGATGGCAGATCCGCGCTGCGTTACCTGGTAGGGGACCTTTGCATGACTCTCTCCTCGCTTTCCGTTCTCTGTCAGTTTTCTCACTCCATTTGGTGCTTGGCTGAGTTCTTTATCTCTTCACTTGATGTTTTAGGGTTTCAGGATTGTTGTATTCTCTGTTCAGCTTAGTTTTTCAGATCTTTGCTGTGGAGGGGTGGTGTGGTGCTTCTGCCTAGAGCGCCATTTTTGCAAAGGACTCATCTTTATTTTTGAAGAGTATTTTTACTTGGTATCGGATTCTAGGTTGGCAGGGTCTCCTAGCATCTACAGATGTTATTCTGTTGACTCCTGGCTTTCTTTATTGTGCTTAGAAGTCAGGTATTTTTCTTACTTATGTTCCCTTTAATGTAATGCATCTCCCCATCCCCTGCCGGGCTGTTTTTATTTTCTCTTTTACTTGGTTTTGAGCAGTTTGACTACGTGCCTAGTATTCTTTTATTTTGTATTTATCCTGCTTGGAATTTGCTGTGCTTCTTGAAGCCATGAGTTGATGTCTTTCTCTGGTTTATAAGAATTCTTAGTAATTATCTTTTAAAATATTTCTTCTGTCTGGTTTTCTCCTTTCTTTCTGAGACTTCAGTTATGTGTATGTTAGATAATTTGATATTGTCTCACATGTCTTTTCATTATTTTTTTCATTATTTTCTTTCTGTGCTTTAGTTTGGATACTTTTTATTGATCTGTCTTCAAGATTAATTATCTGTTCATTAACTTTGTCCAGTCTGCTGATAAGCCCATCCAATGAATTCTTAATTTCAGATATTTTGTCTTTCAGTTGTAGTGTGTCCAGTTTGGTTCTTTTTAGAGTTTCCATTTTCTTGCTGAAATTCTCCATTTTTTAGTCTATTTTTCCATCTTTCTGTCTATTTTCTTTAATGTATTTCTAAAAGTTGTTTTAAAAGTTCCTGTCTGCTAATTATAACATCTGGGTCATCTGTGAGTTTGCTTTTATATACTGTTTTTTCTCTTGATCATCAGCTACTTCATCTCATGTCTTGTAAATTTTGATTGTATGCCAAGCATTGTGTATAAAAGAATTGTAGTGGCTAAACTGGTATTATTTTCCTGCAAAGGGAAAAAAAAAAAACCTTACCTTTTTCACTATCAGGTAGTTAGGTTGAGTTGCTGATCAATTCAATCAGGAGTTGACCTAGGTCAGAGCTTTGTTTCAGCATTCTTCAGCTTTAGTTTACCTCTAGTTTCAAATGTCCTTAGAGTGAGAATTACCCTGCTGTGTGATAGGCTTCTCCTTTTAGCAGGATTTTGGCATCTAACATCCTGAGACTAAAGAGATCTCTCTCTTTCTCTTCTTTCCAGCCCTTGGTCTCCTGTATTGCCACACACTGAGCAAAAGCATGGGTGGTGGGGAAAACTAGCTTTGCATTTGAGACTTCACGGATTCTAATCTGTCACAAAAGCCCACACAACCATTAAAATTTCTCTTCATTTTTTTTGCTGTAGCAAAGTCCCTCTGCCTATAGCATGCCCATTCTAATGCTTGCCCTTGTCCAGACTTGCCAGATGCTCCCAGAGCTGAAAGCAACTGTTGATTTGTGCTCACTTAGGAAAGGCTCACCCCTCTCTGAAATTTGGTTCCTTTAGACTTATTTGCAGCCAAAGCTCTCCTATACCTTCAAGTTTTTTATGATTTTTTAGATTCTCTGTTTATTTCTAGTTACTACAGTATGACAGATCGTCTGGCATGTCCTTCTGGGTCCTAAAGAAAAGTGAAATTCTGAGAAACATTATTAAAGGGAGTTATTTTCATGTAGCATATACCCAATGCTATGATGCTATGATCATTAATAATTTATAATGGAGAGTACTAATATTTAAAAAGTATTTTAACTGTGTTCATTCCTTCTTTTAATTTAAAAAATTAAAGCTGTAAGAAATAATTTATCAATATAAGAAGGTGTAATTTTCTTATTCTTAAATGAAAAGTCAGTACTTATAAGACGTGTGACTTAATTCATATTAACTTTTTGTAGAAATTCATTCTATTTTTTTTAATTTTAGGACTTTTTGGAATGTGCTCATGAAGCCTGCAAAGCACATAATCTTCAACCTGTTAAATTTTTTCTCGATAAAATGATTCAGACATATGAAATGATGATTGTTAGACATGGGTAAGAATATAGATTATCATTTTCTCCCATAGTTAGATGCTATTTTTCATTTGAACTATTAAAACAACTACAATTTATGAACTAAAAGACTCATCAAACTTTGTATGCTAAGTAGGCTAAGGAGCAAACAACCCCTGATCCTAGTAACTTAACAAACAGAGGTTTACTCCTCTCCCATACTACATGTCCAGCAGGGGTTGGTAAGGAGTTTTCATTCAGGAACCTGGCACTAATGACCAGCATAATTTGCCTTTTTGGTCATCATGTATATTACTCACTCTCCTTCATGCCCATGAAATACACTCTTCCTTTGCAGGGAGATAACCTAAAAGTTCCAATCAATCAATGAAACAAGCTTGAAGTTCAAGATCTCTAGGTAATATGTGGCAGTCTTTGTATTAGATTTGAAACTTGTTCCTCTTGACCTAGAAACTTAAAAACCAGAAAGACAAATTATCTGCCCTCCACATACCCAGTTTGTAGTAGTGGAACAGAATAGGATTACTAGAGCCGACACCTCCATTCAGAAATTGAAGAATAGGAGACATAGCCAACAGTGGTCTGTAGCAATTCTGAAATCCAGCTTGACATGTAAGGATCTCAATTTCAGAGATGGATTGACCCTGAAACTATCGTAGTTTAAACCTCAGGACCTCTCACTTGTAGGGTTGCCTCCAAGGGGCGATAAGCATTTGTATACATGATTTATTGTGTTAGATGTTGTTTAAGTGGCTATGGATATTTTATATTTATAGTTTTATTATTTTTTTTTAGAGAGACCTCCCCCCAAAACTGCATAAACCTAAAGCCCCACAAAACCTAGATCCACTCGTACTTGATTTTGCTCAATGCGGGGGCCTTTCTTGTTAATTGTTCTCCCTGGATCTTGTTTCAACCTTCTGGGAGGTTTTTCTATTTCCATTATCTTCCCTAACTTCATGTGAAGTGGGCAATAGAGAAAATGTTGTGCTGGGGAGGTGAGAAATGTTTCCGGCCTGCTTCTTGCCAATAGAAAGTTGGAACCCCAATGAGCATGGTTTTTTAAAGAGTCAGGGTTTTAAAAACATTTTTTATTGTGTAAATTTACAAACATATACAAAAATAGCGAGAGTAAAACAGTCAGCCCTTATATACTCAATCTCCAAGGGTCATTTTAACTCTTCAACATTCACATATGTTTTAGTCCATACTCATGGTTTTTTTGTCAGTAAATTCTCTCAAAAACATAATCAGCTTAAAAGCTTAGGAATAACCATGGTTAAATAACAAAAGAACTGAAAGACTTTTACGCTAAAAACTATAAAACACTGCTTAAAGAAATTAAAGAACATCTAAATAAATAGAAAGACATCCTGTATTCAAAGATTGGAAGACATAATATTGTTAAGGTATCAGTTCTACCCAAAGTGATCTACATACACAACGTAATTTCCATTAAAATTTCAACAGTCTTTTTTGCATAAAGGGAAAAACTGATCCTCAAATTCATATGGAATTGCAAGGGGCCCTGAATAACCTAAACAATCTTGAAAAAAAATCCCCAATAAAGTAGGAGATCTCACACTTCTGATTTCAAAATGTACTATAAAGCTACAGTAACCAAAATGATCTGGTACTGGTATATAATAGACACATAGATCAATGGCATAGAATTGAGAGTCTAGAAATAAACCAACCATCTATGGCCAGCTGATTTTCTATAAGGGTGCTAAGTCCATCTAATGGAGAAAGAATAATCTCTTCAGCAAATGGTGTTGGACCAACTGGATCTCCAAATGCAAAACGATGAAGTTAGACCCATACCTCACACCATATGCAAAAATTAATTCCAAATGGATCAATGACCTAAATATAAGGGCTAAAACTATAAAACTCTCAAAAGAAAACATAGTGGTAAAACTTCAAGACCTTCTTTTAGGCAGTGAATTCTTAGATAAGACAACAGCAGCATGAACAACAAGAGAAAATAGACAAACTGAACTTCATCAAAATTAAAAACTTTTGCGCATCAGGGTCACTATCAAGAAAGTGAAAAGACAACCTGGAGAATGAGAGAAAGTATTTGGAAACCATATATGAGATAAGGGTTCAATATCCAGAATATATACAGAAGTTTTACAGCTTAACAACAAAAAGACTAACAACCCAGTTTAAAAATGAGCAAAGGACTTGAATAGAATTTCACCAAAGAAGATACACAAATGGCCAACAAGCACATGAAAATTTGCTCAATATCATTAGTTATTAGGGAAATCAAATCAAAACCACAATGAGATACCACTTCACATCCACTAGGATAGCTATTTTTTAAAAAAGGAAATTAACAAATATTGATGAGGATGTGGAGAAATTAGAAAACTCTTACATTGCTGGCAGGAATATAAAATGGTGCAGCTGCTGTGGAAAAACAGTTTGGCGAGTCTTCAAAAAGTTAAATGTAGACTTACCATATGACCTACCATTTCCACTCCTAGGTATATACTTAAAAGAATTGCTAGGTATATACTTAAAAGAATTGAAATCAGCAATTCAAACAGACACCATGTATACCAGTGTTCTTTGCAGCATTATTTACAATGACCAAAAGGTGGAAACAACCCAAGTGTTCATTACCAGATGAATGGATAGACAAAATGTGGTGTATATATGCAATGGAGTCCTATTCAGTTATAAAGAGAAATGAAATTCTGATACATACCACCACACAGATTAACCTTGAAAACATTATGCTAAGTGAAATAAACCAGACACAAAAGGACAGATATTGTGTCATTCCACTTATATGAAATATCTAGAATAGTTGTAAATCCACCAAGACAAAAGAAGATTAGTGATTATCAGGGGATGGGGGAAGGGGGAAATGGGGAGTATTAAAAAAAAAAAAGGAGCAGCATCGTTAGGGATCTTTTTTCGTACACAATACAGTGTTTTCCTTGGTCAGTTATTCTAATGGAAGCCTTTAGTCAAACAGGCACTATCTCTACTAGAAGTAATACTAATCATTTCTGTTTATTATTCATTGGTTGGAGTTAGTCACATGGTCCCTCCACAAGAGAGCCAGGAACCCTACTGTATGCCAGAAGAGAGGTGAACCAGAAATATTTGGCAAAGAGCAAGTGAAGACTTAAGGAAAGGGAATCCTTCCCAGTTCTCTCCTTAGGACACCCCAAGTCTCAGTTTTTTATTTTAAGAATATACAGATGTTAAGTTTTCATTGTCATTTGGAGGCTTTTTATTATACTCCCTTTTGTAGATGATGACATATTGTAGACAATTTGATCTGGAGATCAACCAGTTCAGAGGTTAAATGTATTTTCCTTGCATCTGAGAAAAACTCATATAATTTTAAACATTATGTGTAGTAATTATCACAGGGTAAAGTTGAGTATATCAGTATGTGTGGCAAATAATTTATCATTTCTTAGAATCTTGTTGTGTAATTACTTTTTTTTCATTAATAGTTTTATGTTAGTAGGAGAGCCTTTTGCTGCTAAGACTAAAGTTCTGCATGTGCTGGCTGATACTCTAAGTCTTATGAATGAACGGGGCTATGGAGAGGAAGAAAAGGTTATTTATAGGACTGTGAACCCCAAATCCATTACTATGGGCCAACTCTTCGGACAGTTTGATCCAGTGTCTCATGAGGTAATCTACAATTTAAACATTCTCAACTTTTATTTACAGTGTACATTAAACCAAGAAATTTGAAGTGTTTTCATATTTTCAATGCTAAATTCAGTTATATAAAGGGAGCTTACCAACTCTTCCTTTTTTCCCTCAGTGGACTGATGGCATTGTGGCTAACACCTTTAGAGAATTTGCCTTATCAGAAACACCTGACCGGAAATGGGTTGTATTTGATGGTCCCATTGACACTTTGTGGATAGAGAGCATGAACACAGTACTGGATGATAATAAAAAGGTAAATCATCGTGATTAAAAGCAACGCAGATGCAGGGATGTTTAAGTAATGTTGTATGTTCAACAGCTAATAAAGGATGCAGTAAGTTGAATAGTTTTGTAAATAATTTATCTTTTCAGTGAACACTGTGCTGTAGTAACCCCTTTGCTTAATTTTTTTTCATAGAATGAAAATATATTGTATTAAAACTACTGCTTTAGCAACAAGACATAATAATCTAATAGATGATAAGTTTGTTAAGTGACTCCAGTCTTAGGGTTTCTTATAGAACTTCAGAATAATATTTTAGGAGAAAATAAAAGGCCCTCATTCCTTTTTGAAAACATTGAATGCTTGCTTCAGTCCTTTTGTGGAGCATATTACCTTGGGAACTGTAAGGTATACAAAAGGACTATAAAATGGAAGTCTTCTAATATTTATTTTGAGAGAGAACATGCATACAGTAAAGTATAAAAAGTTCACTGATATAAAGAAAATGTTCTACATTCTACTTTGGTGAGTATCATCTGGGGTCTTAAAAGCCTGTGAGCGGCCATCTAAGATACTCCTCTGGTGTCACCTCTTCGGAGCAAGGGAGAATGAAGAAAACTAAAGATGTAAGGGAAAGATTAGTCCGAAGGACTATTGGGCCACAACTACCACAGCCTCCACCAGACTGAGTCCAATACAACTAGATGGTGCCCAGCTATCACCACAAACTGCTCTGACAGGGATCACAATAGAGGGTCCCAGACAGAGCTGGAGAAAAATGTAGAACAAAATTCTAACTGACAAAAAAAGACTAGACTTACTGGCTTGACAGAGAGTGGAGAAACTCCAAGAGTATAGCCCCTGGACACCCTTTTAGCTCAGTAATGAAGTCACTCCTAATTTTCACCCATCAGCCAAAGATTAGACAGGTCCATAAAAGAAAAGGAGACCAAAGGGGCACACCAGCCCAGGGGCAAGGACTAGAAGGCAGGAGGGGACAGAAAAGCTGGTAATAGGGAACCCAAGTTGAGAAGGGAGAGTGTTGACATGTTGTAGGGTTGTTAACCGATGTCATAAACCAATATGTGTACTAACTGTTTAATGAGAACCTTCATCTAAAGTACAATTTAAAAAAAAAAGAAACACTAAAAATTTTTTTTAAAAAAGTACAGTGATTTTAAGTGTAAATTCTATGATTTTTTATATATGTGCACACTCATATAACTGCCACTCAAATAAAGATGCACAAAGCTTCCTGCACGCTGCGAGGTTCCCTCATGTCTCTTCTCAGGTTATATGCCCTCCCCAAGAGATGATCACTATTCTGACTTTTACTGTGATCAATTAGTTTTGTCAGTTCTTGAACTTAATGTAAATAGAGTCATACTCTTTGGTGTCTGACTTCTTTTGATCAATATAATATCTGTGACATTCATGTTATTGCAATGTCAGTTAATTTTTATGCTTGTATTAGTATTATACTGTATGAACAATATCATAATTTATTTCCATACTTACATGAAATAACTGCACTACTAAATAAGCAATTTCATTTAATTAACATACAAATATATATTTCAGAACTTTATCATAGGTGGCTGATCATTTATGCATATTCTTTCATTTATTCAGCAATATTGATTGAGCTGAGAGGGCAAATTAAACAAGAAGCAGTGACAATTCAGAAGAGGGGGTTAATCAGTGGAATGAATGAAGTCTAAGGATTCAGAGCAAAGTGGAAGGATTGTCTCATATTGTGGATGAGAAGGAAGTATGAAAGGATGGTGTCTTCGCTATCTGGTGCTGCTATAACAGAAATACCACAAGTGGATGGCTTTAACAAAGAGACATTTATTCTCTCACAGTCTAGTAGGCTACAAGTCCAAATTCAGGGCATCGGCTCCAGGGGAAGGCTTCCTTCCCCTCTCTGTTGGCTCTGGAAGAAGGTCCTTGTCATCAATCTTCCCCTGGTCTAGGGCCTTCTCAGCACAGGGAGCCTGGGTCCAAAGGACGTGCTATTCTCTTGTGTCTTGGTGGTATGAGGTCCCCATGTCTCTCTGCTCATTTTTCTCTGTTACATCTCAAAAGAGATTGGCTTAAAATTCAACCTAATCTTGTAAATTCAGTCCTGCCTCACTAACATAACTGCCTCTAATCCCACCTCATTAACATCATAAAGGTAGGATTTACAACACATAGGAAAATCACTTCAGATGACAAAATGGTGGACAGTCACACAATACTGGGAATCATGGCCTAGCAAAGGTGACACATATTTTTGGGGGACACAACTCAATCCATGACAGATGAGTATAGATACAGGTGAATGTATGGACTTGATAGAGGAAATATGAACGCAGATCCTTCTGAAGACTTCTATTTTTTCTGTGACACAGTAAAAAAGCAAAATATTTAAATTAGCCATTATAGAAAATGGGAAAGAGAAGTGCCTAGGAAAACACAGAAGGATATGTGTGGTTAGCACTGAGAGCCTGATTAAGTTGAAGACCATGAATTATTAGTATTACCAAGGTCTGCCTTTGTGAGATTCTCTACCAGTCTAAGCAGCTTGGGTGTGGGTGTGGATAATCTTGCTAAACTGATAATACGGAAGGACTTTAAAGGTGTTGGACGAGAATGATCAAAGTGCTGAACCATGAAACAGAAGCTGCCTAGTGAAGGAAGTGAAAACAGCAGTGATGTGAAAGTCTCTAAGAAAATGAAGAGCAAGTTGAGTAGGAGTCAAGGAGTGAGAGAGCTGGAGAGATCAGAGGCTACGGGCAGAGAGTGAAAGTAGAAGCAGTTGAGAAAGCAGCATGGAAGAGTGAGGAGAACGCTAGCTCCACCTTCCAAATTTTTGGCAAGTAAGAGAATATCTGCCGAAATAATCTAGTAGAAGGTTATAAGTACTCTAGACCAGCACTATCCAATACAACCTTCTGTAAAGATGGAAGTATCTGTGCTGTCCAGTAAGGTAGCCAGTAGTCACATGTGGCTATTGAATATTTGAAATGTGGCTAGATTTGAAATGAAAGAACTGAAATTTAACTTTAATTTTAATTAATTCAAATTAACTATAAATAGCCACATATGGCTGATGACTACCATATTGGACAATGCAGTGCTAGAGCATTCATTCATTTTACAGCTAAGAAACTGAGATCCAGAAATGTTAAATGCTTCATTATTGACATATAATAACCAAAGCCAAACCCACTGCCGTCAAGTGGATTCCAACTCATAGCGACCCTGTAGGAGAGGGTAGAACTGCCGCGTAGGAATTCCAAGACTAATCTTTTCAGAAGCAAACTGCCACATCTTTCTCCCACGGAGCAGCTGGTGGGTTTGAACTGCCAATCTTTTGGTTGGCAGCTGAGTGCTTTACCCACTGGGCCACCAGGGCTCCTCTGTTGACATATAATAGGGGCAAAACTGGGACTAGAGTTATGGATTGTAGAAACAGAGAGGAAACACTGAAAAATAACACAGAGGAAGAATTTAAGAGACCTACTTATTAAATCAATCTGGAGTTTCAACCATTACTAATTATTATTAATATTATTAAAAATTAATAATTCCAAAGGTACAAAGCAAGGAGTTTGAGAAGATAAGATGACTTTAATAACAGTGGACAAGATAGATATTTGAGAGAAGGGAAGTGATTGATAAATTCAGATTTTGGTGTATTTATCAAAAAAGAACTGTTTTAGGTTAAAAGAGATAAAGACGACATAACAAACACAATGCATGGCCCGTGATTGAATTTAGGTTTGAATAAGTCAGTTGAAAAGACATTTCTGTTTCAGCTGAGGAAATTTGAGTACTGACTGAGTATTAGATGATATTTAGAAATTATTGTTAATTTTGTTAGGTGTGATAATGTTATTGTGGTTATGTAGAAAATGTTCTTATTTTTTAGAGATAAATATGACGTTTGGACATCAAATGCATATCTGTAGTGTTCTTTAAAATACAAAACAACAACAAAAAATAAAGCAATTTTACTGCAAAATGTTAACATTGTTTAAATCTAGGAGATGGGCTTATGAGTATTCATTATGCTGTTGTCTTTTCTTTTTATTATTAATTTAAAATGTCCCTATGACAACTTTATAAAATCAGGAGCATTTTATGTAGTTTTATTAATAATAATAACTGACATTTATATAGCATTTTACAGTTTGGGAGTATGTCATGTATTCCCCCCCTCCACCCCAGTTCCATGAGAGAGATAGTATCCCTGTTTTATAGACGAAGAGACTGCAACTCAGAGATGTTGACTATTTGCTTACTTGGTAAGTAATTGACAGAGCTAGACCTAAAATTAAGATCTTCTGGCTTCCATTTGTATACTTATACCACAGGAAATAGTTTATAAGTAGAATTAATTTTTATCTGAGAAGTTCGAAATATTTTAAAAATAAATGTTTGAAAAATAATTGCCTTTAGCTTTGCCTTATGAGTGGAGAAATCATTCAGATGTCTCCTCAAATGAGCCTCATCTTTGAAACAATGGACCTCTCCCAGGCCTCAGTAAGTTCATAATTTAATACAATGGTGTTTGTTTTTTATTTGTTAGTTTATTCATCCATTTGTTCATTCATTAATTTAGTTAATAAATATTTTATATTATTTGTTAGACACTGGGTAAGAGACTGGGAATACAAAGATGAATAAGGCACAGTATATGTTCATTTACAGAGAATGAGAAACATGCTAATAAATAATCCCAGTAGAGAGCTACATGTTAGTGCTCTAAGAGTGTGGAGGGGAATAAGCACCCAAGTGGAGAGTGGGTCCAGAAGGACCATGGAGGGTGTTTGAGTGTTTGATCTGGTTTTGAAGGAGGTATAAGAATTCTCCAGGGAGATTGGTTGAGGCAGGGCATTCTAATCATGACAAGAGGACGTGTAAAGACATGGAGCCATAACATCATGGCATGTCTGGGGAACTGAGCAGCAAATGGTTTTCTGTTTGGGGGAAGTCCGGTGTATGTGAGGCAGGCAGATAAGCCTGTAGAGGTAGAGGAGCCAGATCCTGCCAAGGATCCTTGTAAGTCATGCCAAGATGTAGTTGATAGTTTTCAGGTACCACTGGTATAAAAGCAATATTGGAAAAATGAAACTTGTCTTTTTCTCTAGCCTGCCACTGTAAGCCGCTGTGGCATGATTTATTTGGAGCCCTCACAATTAGGATGGGAACCACTTGTGTCTTCATGGTTGAATTCATTGAAAGGACCTCTGCATGAACCAGAATATCAAGCTCTTCTGAAGGAACTTTTTGACTGGTTAATACCGCCCACTTTAAGACTTCGTAAAAAAAGATGCAAGGTAACACTATAATTCTCTGACCCACTCAAGTTTCTTTAATTTATATTCAACTTGACTAAGTCTCAAGTCACAATGATAGGGTAAATAACTAAAACTAGTTTCTCCTTACACAATTATATTCACGTTTGGTGTCATATTGATTGAATTATAGCTGAATAACCCAGAGGTAAAATTTACTGCAGCTAAATTTTTTTTTTTTATATTTTATTGTGGTTTTGACGAAAGTTTACATAGTAAATCTGGTTCTCACTTAACAATTTCTATACGTATTGTTCAGTGACATTGGTTACGTTCTTCACAATATATCAGCATTCTGATTATTTCCATTTTGGTTGTTCTGTTTCCATTAATCTAGCTTCCCTGTCACCCCTATCCTTCTCATCTTTGGTCTACGGTAAATGTTAATCATTTGGTTTCATCTAGACCATTATTTTGAGGAGCACAGTACTCTTGGGTGATATTATTTATTTTATGGGCTAATCTGTCATTTAGCTGAAAGGTGACCTCTGGGAGTGGTTTGAGTTCCAAGTTTAAAGAGTATCTCAGGGCGGTAGCCTCGGGGGTTCATCTAGTCTCTACTGGTCCAGTAAGCCTGGCCCTTTCTTCCAGCTAAAGTTCTTCGCATAAAACCATAGTGACTAAGGTTTTAAAAATGCCGATTATTTTCCATACTTTAAAAGTATTTTAAATGCATACCTTTAAAAATTAAGTGTATGTTTAATATTTTATGAGAGAATTTTTACTTATTGTATTAGCTTCCTAGGGCTGCAGTAACAAATTACCACACTCTTGGTGCCTTAAAACAACAGCAATTTCTTCTCTTCCAGTTCCGGAGGCCGGAAGTTCTAAATCAAGGTGTTGGCAGGGCCGAGCTCCCTCGGAAGGCTCTAGGGGAGAACCCTTCCTTCCCTCTTCCAGCTTCTGGTGGCTCCAGGTGTTCCTTGGCTTGTGGCTGCATAACTGCACTCTCTGCCTCCGTCTTTATATAGCCTTCTCCTCTGTGTGTCTCTCCTTTATGTGTCTCCTGTAAGGACAGTTGTCAGTGGATTTAGGGCCTACCCACATTATCCAGGATCATCTCATCTTGGTCTTAATTATATCTGCCAAGACCCTTTTCCCAAATAAGATCACATTCACAGGTTCCAGGTACTAGGACATGGACATATCTTTTTGAGAGTTACCGTTCAACTCACTATATATGTTTATACATGTAGCTTCTCTTGCCTTGACCATCTTTTCCTTCTTCACCAGCTAACTCACATTTTTCTTCCAAATTCAGCTTAGCTGTTACTTCCTCAGGGAAACCTTCCTTGACTTATGTCTCCCGTCTTTCTATGCCTGTCTCCCTCTCTGAGTGTAAGCTAATTGTTTATCCCAAGTTCTCTAGTAGCCCCCCTCCCCTTGGGATTCCTCTGTCATATCATTATTATGCCAAATTATTTTTGTCTATTTAATTTCAACATCACTCTTTGTTAGAGATTGTTCCTTTATTTCCATATTCCCCAGCTTAGTATATAGGTATAGTACATTTTTCGTAAATGTTTGTTGAGTAAATGAATGAATGGCTGTTAGAGACTTCGTTTCTGCTATCCCTGGAACATTGTTTATTCTCTTACAGTAGCTAGTTTTCATTTGTCAGAGAATTTATAATAATCTGTTAGATGCAGTTGTGTAATAGGCTAAACTAAAATATTTGACAGATACTGTTTGTAAATTGTTTTTATGGTGCCTATAATTTAAATTATTTTAACGTTAGAAAGATCTTATGAAAACCATGTATGCTTTTTATCAGTTTTATAAAATGGAATGTTTATCTTCTTTTATTCTCCAAATGAGATGAAAGTTAAGAAAAGTATCTTACTCTTTTCACTTTGCAGGAACTGATTCCTACAAGCGATAGTAATGTGGTTGTATCTCTCACACGGCTCTTTGAAGTACTACTCTGTCCTGTGGTAGAAAATGAACCTACCAGCAAGCACATTCGTGTTTGGATTATGGTTGGTTTTATACTTAATGTGCTTTTAATTACAGAATAAAATATGCCTCTGGCAAATGATACTTATATCGAGAAAGACATTACGAGGTATTACATACAGAGCTGTTTTTGGTAAGCAATAAAAGAATAGTTGAAGACATTAAAGTTGGCCTCATCTGGTATTCTGATATTAAAAAACACTTTAAAGAAGGTAAAATATATCAGAATGAATCAAAACTGCCCTATTATTTATAAAAGGTCATAATATGATAAACACTTAAGAAGGTAACCTTATATTAAGCCAGTATGGACTTAGTATGAATTGGCTTGGTTTTAATGTTAAGCCAGGATGTGGGCAGCAACAAGTTGACTATGAAAAACCAGAAGTAAGCATCCAACCAGCTAGATTGAGTGTTGTAGGCAGAATCCATGGAGGACACAGGTAGGTAGAAGTCAGTAGTCATGGTTAGCTAATATCAGAAAGTCAGAGAAGGCTAGCAAACAGGGCGCTAGTGAGCAGACATTATTAAAGGCCAATGAAAAGAAAGAGTTTTTGTTTTCTTCCCTAGTCTATGCTAGTTTTCCATCCACTGCCTTATTTCTAAGTTCCTTGATCTCTCTTCTGCACTCAGACTACCTTCTTGTCTACTCTGTGGCAGTAGAAGATCCCTCCCATTGCTTTCCCTTCACCCTGTTGACACAGAAAATCTTCTGTCCCAAACATCTCACATTCTGGAGTTCCCTGCTAACCATAACCTCTTACTTTCCTCTTCTCTTTTCATCCTTACCCTGCACTTTAAAAGACATTAAACAGACATGTTACCTTTTTATAAAATAAAAGTATCCTAGGAATAGTTCACCTATATAACCTTCGATTTATGTATTTCCTGAAAATTTTCACTTCGTTGGTAAACTTAAACTCCAAACATTTTTGCAAAGGTTGATAATAATTTTGAGAGACTAATATAGATTGATACCTGATTGAGAAATTTCTCTTTTAAAATATACTTAATAGATTTATTTTTTTGACTAGGTAAGGTGTATACCTAGAGTAAAATTCAAAAGGCAAGAGTAGGTTTTCCATCCATCCCAGTGCCTCAGCTACCCAGTTACCTCCCTCGAGGAGACCACTATTATCAGTGCCTTATTTAGCCTTCTAGAAGTATTTTACGCACACACAAAAAATATACTCTTTTGTATGTGTACATTTTTTACACCTGTATTTGCATACTATGTGTACTGCTTTGTATCTTTTTTCATTTATAATGTATCTTGAAGATTGTTCCATATTAATACTTGTAGCCTTACCTTATTTCTTTAACAGCTGCATGTATTCCAATGTATGTATCATAATCCAATTAAGCAGATCCCTACTGAAGAACACTTGGTTTACTTCTGATCTTTTGCTATTACAAGCAGTGCAGCAGTGAATATCTCGTACATATATCATTTTCACAGGTGGGAATATATTTGAGGATAAACTCCTAGAAGAGAAATTCCCAAGTATTTGGTATCTGAATTTTGAATTTTGGTAGATATTGCCAGAGAAATGACTCTTTATGTAACTTAACTGTGCTCCATCCCACTTTATTTGTAAATATGACCTTTTCCAAGTAGGTTGACCAGGCCTTAATCCCATATTTTTACACAAAGAACACATGACTTCTACATTTGCCAACCACGCCCCCCACCCTGCAAGGTACTTTCATAAGCGCTGCTATGCCAATTTTTTTATTTTACATGTTGCTCTAAAAAAAAAAAGAATGATCATAACATTCTTACAAAACTGCCTCACAGGGGAGGGCGTGGTTGGCAAACGCGGAAGTTATGCACTATTTGCGTAAAAATACAGTATTTTAAATTTTTAGCTAAGGTTTTTTATTTCTTTTAAAATAATTGCTTTAAATTAAATTCTTCTTCTTTTTTTCACCACAGGCTTGTTTTATATTCTCTTTGATCTGGTCTGTTGGGGGAAGTTGTGATACAGATGGTCGCATTGTTTTTGACGCTTTCCTAAGACCAGTCCTGCTGGGAAAAGATGATGAATACCCAGTGCCACAATCTGTGGGTAAATGGGAGTGCATCTTTGATGAAAAAGGGCTAATCTATGACTACACCTATGAGGTATGACATAAAATGCTTGATAAGATAAAATATAAAGCACAAAGACTTGGATCAGTAGACAAAACTCCTGGGTTCTTATCTTAGAGTGATTTTGACTCCTCTGGTGTGCTTATAGTCCTCTCTTTAATTTCTCCTCTTATAACTTGTGGGAAGTGTAGATAAGAATATCTATATTTTTTCATGAATATGGCTTTAGAAATATTTTGTAATTCAAGATTTAAATTAAATCCGTTTTCTCCATTTTATAAAACAATCCACAAAAGGGTTTTTTTAATTACAAGCATTTGAATAATCATTTGATTCATGCAAATTTTACTTCAAAAACCATGACATCTGGATAGAGCTTTAGTAATAATTTTGCCTAAATCTCAAGTTTTATTAGATAAAGAAACAAACCTAGAAATGTGAGTGGCTAGCAGAGCCAGAACTTGAACCCAGCTCTTCAGACTGCCAGTGTAGGACCCTTTCCCCAAACCATGTGAGCTTAGAATTTCAAGAATATGACTAGAAAGAGAGTTTCATCTTCATTAGTCGGAGTGGGAAATCAGTAGTAATGTATTCTTGAAAACTGAAAAATCAGGAGGTAAGCGATACAAGCGTGTTCTTTAAGAATTGGCAGTAAATAACCAAATACTTAGCTTAAAGAGGTAAAAGTGATTGCCACTGGGGAGGGAAAAATGGAAGTGGGGACCTACTGCTTTTCTTAACCTTGTAGAACTTTTGGCTCCAAAACAAGTGCATATATAACTTTTATAAAAATAAGAGCTAAAAGTTAAAAAATGAATATGAATTGCTAAAGAAATATTCACCCAAACTTGCAAAATCACTACCATCCAGACACACGCCATATACATACGCAATTTGCTAGGAAATAGGAAAAGATTCTTAGATGCCAGTGAGAGCGCTGGAGTGGGGTCCTAGAGACCCCCTTCTTTGCCAGGTATTAACCCTCTTGTTGCTTGATAGTGGGAGGCAACCTGGAGATCTCCACGGAGGGGCCTGGACAAACTGGGGAGGGGAACACAGGTTGGGGCAGGGGGAAGGGAGGCACTCAAGGGTATCAGCAGCTATTTAGCCAAGGGTTCAGAAGAGTTTCAGTATTGTAACAACCAGTACAATCATGCCAGCATGTCTTGGCTGAATATCAGCCTGGATCAAAATACCCAAGAGAATTATTTAAGAGAACAAATATAGTAAGTTATGTGATATTTTGTTTTTAGTTGGAATATTGCCTATTTAAAATATAAAAAAATTGAAGCCAAAATTATAACTTGAGCTACATCAGAGTGGCTTTCGAATAAATACTTGTTATATGCAAAAGGACATCTTGAAGACATTTTGGAAGTTCAGAGTGTTAAGAGGACATAATGGCAAAATTATATGAATTTCTAAATATGTGTTAAATTTGTGATAACCAATTTTCATTAAGTTCTTCAGGTTATTGTTAAAAAATAAAAAATTAATCTAAAGAAAAACATGTATTTCTTAATTTGGATGGTGGATTTGTGGGTGCTTATTTTATTAACTCCTTTATGACTTAAAAATGTTACACACCTTCTTTTGTCTGAATCTAGTATTTCATAATACAAAGGGGAAAATAGTAAAGTTTTTAAAAACAAATAGGATAACAGAGTAAGTGTTGAAAATAGCCTTTCAGATATAACAACTGCATGATTATAATATTTTAAAAATTATGTTCTCTTGTAGTTGAAAAACCGAGGTCGCTGGCTCCATTGGAATGAATTAATTAAAAGTACTAATTTAGGAGATAAACATGTCAAGATTCAAGATATCATAGTCCCTACGATAGACACAATTAGATACACATTTCTAATGGATTTGAGTATTACCTATGCGAAGTAAGGAACTCTGCTGTAAATATGTATTGTAAATTTAACAGTGCCATTCTCACAGGATCATAGCAGCTTTCAGTTGGAATATTAGGTCATCTACTCAAAGGCTCAGTGTACTCTTGAAATATTAGACTAACCATGATACACATTTTCCCATTATACTTAGCATTTTTCAAATATGTCCTATGCTAGTTTGGATTCTATAACTCAAGATTAACATGGAAAACTCAGACTTAAGTCAGAAGAGTACATCAAAAAGAGTTCATAAAGCTGATCAAAAGCTTAGGCATGTACCATATCAATACCAGCTTTCTTAATAACATTTTTGTAGTTTCTTTTAAAATATTAGGCATAGAATTTATCATTACTACTTCTCAAACTAGACAAACTTACATAATATGCATGAATGTCATGATTTGTTATTGATAAAGAACATGTTTCTGAGTGAATTTGGTGACAATTTTATCTTGTTTAATTAAAAAATAAACAGGAAAAATTGTTTATGAGGGGAAATTTTTTATCCTAATTTTGTACCTGTACTTGTGTTTCTTCATTTAAATGCTAATATTAAAAACTTTCTCAGACAAGGAAGGCAGGTGTCAATTCTGGAAAATTCCTAGTAGGAGTTCTTTTGTGCCATGAACCCTTTGTCAGAATAATGCTTTAAATGAATAAATACAAATATAGGATTATAAAGGAAACTATTTATATTAAATAATTAAAATATTGAACAAATGTGGGCTATAGAAGTAATATGTGTGCTTCTGTATGAACACATTTAATAATAAGATCCAGCAGTGGGGTCAGATGACTATCATAATTTTAAAGAAGTAATGGCATAAATGTTTTTGAGATATCTGTAAAAATTGGAATGTTTAGGATAATATCTGTGATTTCTATTGGTGACAAAGATGCAGATACTGTTAATACAATTGCTACATTTTAGTTAGAGGAGAGTGAAAATGAAGATAAAACCTTTTTGCCATCCAAGTTCACAGATTGCCTGAATTCTATCTAAGTAGCTCCCTAATTGATCCATGTACCCCAAGTTAAGAACCGTATTTTATTTATTAAAATTGTTTTAATAGATAGCTTTTCATAAGGTGAGTGTTAGACTGGGACCCATAGGTGAGTTCTCAGAGGTCACCTAGTTCTAAAAAACTTTTATACTGGACACTGCTCGTCAATTTCAGCGCCAGCCTTTGCTTTCGTGTTGATATATTGTGTGGTCCTAAGTTAGCACTCAGAGTGACAGCAGTTTATTTTTAGCACAGCATTTTTCAAGCTGGGATTCCCAGAGTTCTGTGAACATAAATTCATGTGATTTTTTCCCCCTTTAAAATTGGTTATGATCACTCAAGGATGTGAAACCTTGCTTGAGGCCCCACTGAATGGGGAATTCCTTAGAGCTTGCTTTTGTAGAAATATTTTCAGTTAGCAACTTTGACTGGGTTCTAAAATACTATTAACAGGTATACATAACTGTTAACTTTAACATTTGCTGTCATTCAGTTTGTCATAAAAACATTATGCTATTAAGATAACTGCAGTGGCCCAAACCTGTGTTACTGTCGTCACCTTTTATTCTATTCTACACTGTCACCCCCATGCCTGTACCCCTAACTAAAAAGTACAAATATATCACTTTTCTGAGGAAACATACTTTGGCTTCCTTTTCTGAAAAATTATGCACGTTATTACTTGTTCTGCGCGTGTGCGTGCGTGTTTCCTTCAGATAGTAATGTTACGTCTGTTCAGATAACAGTTGATTACTATTAAAGTCTTTGCAATGTCCGCAAAAATGTGTGACAGTCATTACTTTCACCAGTGTTTCATGAAATAACAATTATAGATAAAAATGTGAGTTTTTAGATGAAGGTGATTTGATCATTATTTAAGTTTTTCACTAACTCTAGCTTCCTTTATTAGAAATATATTCTAACTTTTTTCTGTTTTGAGTAATATGTTCATTGCTTTCATAAAGGCCGCTGCTTTTTGTGGGTCCAACGGGTACAGGAAAATCAGTGTATGTGAAGGATAAGCTAATGAATCACCTGGAAAAGGACCTGTACTTTCCTTTTTATGTTAATTTCTCTGCACGGACCAGTGCCAATCAGGTTCAGGTTAGTTTAAAGCCAGAAACACGGGTCTATAATGATTAATTTTTACTTAATTTGATAAGTGTTTGAAACTGTATCTTAAATGAGCAGCTGTGTAAATCTTCTTCTATGAATTTAAATAAAACTTTAAAACTTTTGTTTGGGGAATTACAAGCAAGTTTTAAAATTAAGTTTTAATGACAAGCAGTTTAGAGAACCTTTTTCCATTAATACTTAATGCCTATTTTGTAGCCTGAGAAGAAGCAACAGTGTTTTTTTAAACTGGAGAAGGGAGTGTGTGTGTGAGAGAGAGAGCCCACATAACTCGTAACTGTCAGTTGCTCTTGCAGACTCCTACATGGTCGTTGGGGGCATTCGTTGCTCAGCGCAACTCTGCCGGTGAAAGCTCTTCCCAACATAGGCTGTCATGTGCCCTTCTGTGAGAGGAACTGTGCAGCTGTGCATCCCACCCTTCACCCGGAAGTGTGCCCAGATGAATGTGCTGCAGGAGAACTTCTTAATCACCAGTTTATCATTCATTCTTAAGTTTATACCTGTCCATTCTCTCCTGACCTGTGGACCTCATTTCTGTTGTCTTAAGTGTATAGAACTCCCTTAACTTCAAAATCTTAGAGATTTAGAGCTTCTTTCCTATGGCGCTCTATTTCAATGAAAACAATAATTGCGGTATTCATTTTGCAATGGACAAAGGAGCTCTAAAAATATCAGAAATACGATAAGTACTGAAATCTATGTCACTATAAAAAAATTGCTAGAGGTAGTAAAGATTAATGCTTTTAAATATTAAGCTAAAGTTAATAGATATGTTGTGATATTCAATGAGAAAAATATTTTTTAAAAAACTTGTATACTATATATGTAAGCACAAATACACACATACAGTATCTGTATATATGTTATGTAACAATTCTAAGCACATAGTAGGATTTCAATAAATGTAATTTGAGTGATGTTGAATATGAAGTCTAGTATCACCCTTAAAATGATATGAATAAATGCACAGACACACATAGTGCTGCTTAGCATTACTTCCTTACATAATTAGACTGTTAGATTTTTTTCCCTGTTGTTAAGTATGGCTTTTTGTTTTATGTCAGTCATTGCTAAATTAAGCAAATGGTAACTGTTACAGAGAAAAATCCCATGGATTCTGGCAGCATAGGTCTTTCTTAATACTGATTTACCATAAACAATGGTGATAATAATAAGTTCATAACTCGTTTATAGATCAATATACCACTGTTCCTTCTTTACGTTTTAGAACATTATTATGGCTAGATTGGATAAAAGGCGCAAAGGAGTTTTTGGCCCACCTATGGGAAAGAAGTGTATAATTTTTATAGATGACATGAACATGCCTGCATTGGAGAAGTATGGAGCTCAGCCTCCTATTGAATTATTACGACAATTTTTTGACTATGGAAACTGGTAACTATTTAACTGAAGTTTTAATAAGCCATGATGAAGTCATATTTTACTCTCATTTTATATTTTAGTTTCTCAAAGCAAAATAATATATTTTTTCAAGATATTTTGGAAAGAAACTGGTTCCTCAGAGTTTCCTACACAGAAATCTTTGGAAGACTTTTCTCTACTTTTTTCCTCTTAATGTGTGAGTTAGGCAAATGGGATGAATAATTCAGTGTTGGAAAAGTATTTATTCAATAATATAGTAAATTCTTTCTTTTTCAACTACTATTTTCAATTACTGAAAATAATTTACAGATGACATCTTTCAAAGTACCATTCCCCTGGGACCGAGAATTTGTGGATAGTCTCAACCTAAGTAACCATAATCAGCACTATGTTTCTACCATTTTCAACTCTATATTTTCTGTGACTGCTTAGAACTACCCTGTCTTTGAGATGGCTTGGTTTTGACAGCAGTTTCATAAATTACCCTTCTGCTCCCTCCACCCCTACTATGGTGATGCGTTCAGTTTCCAATGCATAAGACATTGTATCTTTTAGTTAGGATTAATAATTCTTCACTTCCTCCTCATAAATATAGTTTCCTATTCCCCATATACCATGGTTTTTACTTCAAGGCAAGGTAGACTAATTTTGAAGCTAAGTCATTTTGAAGATACATTTTTGTTATTACTGCAGGCCCTTAGAACCCTGCCTCCCGGAGATCACTGCTATTAACAGTGTGCTCCCTATTCCTCCAGGTCTTTTCCTATATAAATATATATTTTATTTCACAAAAAATAGGATTATATTACACATGCTGTTTTGCCGCTTATTTTCACTTAAATGTTTATCTTAAGCATGTATCCATATCAGTGCATATTTGTCTATCTCGGTCATTTTATTTGTTCTTAAAACTACTTAGTTTTGTGAATTTTGCGATAATTCACTTAGTCAGCCCCGTATAGGTGGTTATTAGAGTCGTTTCCAAAAAACTAAACTGTATTTTCATGGTTTCCTCGTGTGTCTTAGACTAAGGATGGGCCATATAGATTTATCTCCTGGTTTTTGCTGTCGATGTTGTTTCCCCCAAGACCTTCAATAACTGCCTGTTGAAAATAGTCACTGTTTCAGTCTGAGTGGTTCTAACTAAATTGTGCTACTCAGAAACCTCTTTCGGATTAAACCTTCTTTGAGTCTTTATTATTGCCTTTCTCTGTAACAAAAGTATATGGTACTAGTACTAGTAGACATCCTTATGTGCTCTGAAGATAAAGTTTGAGATGCAGAAAAGAAAATCAGGACTTTGCTGTGACTAGGGTGACCATCCAAATTATTGTTAAAACTGGGGCAGATCTGAGATTGAAAGGCAACATTGTTAATAATTACTCCAGGACAGCAAGCACGAACAAGAATTATCCTAGGCAAAATGGGACATACAGTTACCCTACCTATAACAAGCAACACAAAAGATTGGTCACTCATCCATGTTTCTGGATTTGGAGTAAGAAAAGGAAAAGTGAAGAATGGAATTAGAAGGGAGAGTAGGAGGAAAGAAAGGGGAGGGCAACAGGAAGAGACATTCTAGATACCCAGAATCTGGACAACAGAATCGGTGTCATGAAAGGAGAAATAGAGCATAGCTTTAAAAACAAAACTTCTACTCCAAGCATTATTCCTTCTAGGGAAGGTAAGATCAGATTAAGTTTCTAGGGAGATCTATATTTCATTCCATCTTACTGGCTTTATCATTGATTTTCAAATTTTTCTGTGCTTTCAAGGTATGACCTTAAGGACACAAGTAAAATCACATTGGTTGATATTGAACTGATTGCAGCCATGGGCCCTCCAGGTGGTGGAAGAAATCCAGTCACTCCCCGTTTTATTAGACATTTCAACATCTGCACTATTAATACCTTCAGCGATGAAACGATGGTCCGTATTTTCTCATCAGTTGTAGCATTCTACCTGAGGACTCGTGAGTTTCTCCCGGAGTACTTTTTAATTGGGAACCAAATTGTCAGTGGGACAATGGAGGTGAGCAAATCATGCTGTAGAAAATGTTTTAGTATTACTTATTGCTCTCATTTGGTCCCCTTTCTCTTTTTTTTTTAAACATTATTTCCCTCAGCCATCTACTTGGGTCTTCAGTAGCAGAGAAGCTGTTTAGAAGGCTTGAGAACAGGAGTTCATAGGTTTTGAAATTAGGGTATCTCACTGGGATTGAGCCCTGACTGGTACTTCCTAGCTATATGTCCTTGAGCAAGTAATTTGACCTTCCAGTGGCTCAGTTTTTTAATCACTAAAATGGGAAATAATACCTATTTCACGAAGCTGTTATTAGGGAATCATCCAGAACACAATGTGCCACATCGTAGGTGTTTCCTGAATTGTTAGGCTCCTACTGTTGCTAGTTGCCCTGGCGACCCCGTGTGTGCAGAGTAGAACTGTGTTCCATGGGGTTTTTAAGGCTAATGACCTTTTGGAAGCAGATCACCAGGCCTGTCTTCTGAGGTGCCTCTGGGTGGGTTCGAACAGTCAACCATTGGGCTAGTAGTGGAATACTTAAACATTTGCACCACCAAGGAACACCTTGTTAGTTTCCTACTCTGCTATTTATTAATTTTCCTTTCTCTCTCGTCCCTCCCTTCGTGTTTGTCATTAAAAAAAAAAAAAAAAAACTAAAACATTAGCAGCTTATGAATATCATACTTATTAACCAGGTCACATAACTTAGGAGTAGCAGTGAAAGAAAAAAATAATAAAGGAAAATAAATTAATAAAGGGGAAAAAAGAAAATACAAAGATGAAAACAGAAGACAAGACTGTCACTGTGGCCAAAGAGCCACACTTGCTCACTCAGGTGTGTTACCTGCCTCTGCACAGAGGCCGGAGCCAGCCTTATTGCTCATTGTGAAAGGGGGAAAAGTGTGTTGAAAGGTTAAGTCAGTGATAATCTCATCGAACTAAGTTTTCTGGAGACTTGATAAAGTGAAGTTCACTTCTGGATGCAAAAAGCTTAGAATCATTCTACCAGTTTTCAAGAACATCTTCTCTTTCTAAAGTTCTTCTCCCCTTGTTTCAGTGGAAAATTTGTGCTGTTAAAATAGAGATACTATGAGCAAAGAGGTAGTACATTATGATTACTGTATTTATTCCGATGGATAGAAATGCTTGTGTTTATAAAATATGGTGTTTCTATCTCAGGCATCTCCTGGAAAGAAGGGAGGAGGGAGCTGGTCAGATAGAATGGGATGCAGAAAAGATCCTTTTTTCTTTTTCTTTCTTTCAGGCATTATAGACCCCCTGTGTGTGGAAGTTGGGGGAGGGTAACAAATCACAGAACATATACAAATAAAAATTTAGTTTTCTTTTCAGATTATGTTATGAATGATTTGGCTTCCTTAAAGAGTTTATTAAACTTCATTGGGTGAATTCAGCACATAGTAAGCATATATTTCATTTACATACTATAGCCAATTAAGAAAGGGAAGGAGTAGAGAGAGGATAAGAGAATGGAAGAAGAGAGTGTACTGATTTGTCTTTAAGTCAGTGGTAGTCAAGAGGACATTGTCTCATCCTCCTCTTCATTTGGAATGCTTCAGAATGAGTTCTGTGATTTCACTTTCTGCTGAAGTGTTTATGAACTATTTCCTTTGAACGGAACAATCGCAATAACTGGGAGATAAAAGTATTGTCACTTCTTGAGCTTGAAGAATCAGATAATATTAAGTTCCCTCAATTTCATAAAGCCTGGGTAAGTGATATAAATGAAAATAACCATATACGCCATGCTAGGCTCAGTACTATACCCTTCTTCAAGCCAGTAGACTCTAATGGGGTAAATAAAATATTCTGTGTAATATTTGTTGTATGGCTTTGCTGATTATAAGCATTTTTTGCTTTGTTGCTTTTTTTCATATTCAGATATATAAACAATCCATGGAAAATCTGTTGCCCACTCCCACCAAATCTCATTATACTTTCAACTTGCGTGATTTTTCACGTGTCATCCGGGGCTGCCTGCTCGTTGAGAAGGATGCTGTGGAGAGCAAGCACACTATGATCCGCCTGTTTGTGCATGAGGTTCTCCGAGTGTTTTATGATCGTCTCATTAATGACAACGATCGAAGCTGGCTGTTCAACTTAACCAAAAGTGTTATAAAGGACCATTTTAAAGAATCATTTGATGGTATCTTTTCACATTTGAGGAAAGGGAATGCACCAGTAAGTACATTTAATGATTTAAAAAGTATTAATTTAAAACAGTACAATAGCATAAATTGCTAAAATCAATTAACTTACCTTTTAAAAATATTATTGCTTCTTAATGATCAGATTCTTTTAAATTACTTTATAGATAGGTATTTATTTTGAGAAGATTTGTCTTCAGAAGAAATTATTTATGTAATACAGAAGCTATTTAAATAATAAACCCTCACATGATAGGGGATTAAATGATACAGTAGATGTAAGGTGCTTAACATGGTGGCAGCCCTTAGTAACAACTCATAAGTGAGAGTCATCCATTTATAACTTCTTCAGCCTCTGAAAAAAGAAAAGAAACAACTTTACAGGATAGGAAAAAAGCTCTTTTTAAAAATTTTCTAAACATGTAATATAATTTCAGGTATTAATTTTACAAATGTATCATTTACAGTCCTAATGTATAAACAGTTATTTATTTGATAATCAGGTCAATAAATTTTTTAAAAACTTTACTCCCATAACATGGATGAAATAAAATTTTGTGTAACATTTTCTTAAATTTATTTTGGAAAATGTTTTAAGTTTTATAATTTGCTGATTTCCATGTTATAGGTAACTGAAGAGAACTTACGAAATCTCATGTTTGGTGACTATATGAATCCTGACCTTGAAGGAGATGAGAGAGTTTATGTGGAAATTCCAAACATTCATCTTTTTAATGACGTCGTGGACCAATGCTTAGATGAATATAATCAAACTCACAAAACAGGAATGAATCTTGTCATTTTTAGGTACCTACATTTAATATTGTCCTAGGGTAAAATTACCACAAAGTTATAGTAAAGCAAGAAGAAAGATTTTATTCAGCATATGTTCAAAGAGGCAAAAGTGGGAAACGGACAAGCATGTGCCAAAGCCACGTCTGCCCGAGTCCAAGGAACGTTACAGAATCATCACTATATATATTGACATTACAAATGAATGAAATCATTGAAAGTTTCACCTTTTCACAGATTAGCTAAAAACTGCTAAATCACCGTGATTCTACATTTGGAATTGTCTTTCTTAATAATCATCGGTACAAATTTCAGTACGACAGTTAGGAGTGCCTTCATTGGTCCAACAAATCTCACTATTTACTAAATGCTAATAGAAAAAGATGGAGCCCAATAGAAAAAGATATGAGTGGAAAATATGTGGGTCTTTTGTGCTCCAAGATTTATGTGAAAAGTTCCCTGAAAGATGTCTTCCAAGATTGTCCTAGCTACAGTTTTTATACCGCAGGGCCCAGTTGATGTGTCCTTGTGAGTCCTTGTCACTCTAGCTGGGTCGCATTCTTTGTACTCAAGGACAGGAAATAATGGCTCCAATTTTAACCCTTAAGTCAACATTGATGCTTGAAATTGCTATTTGTAAAATTTTATTATGAAATATTTAAAATATACAAAAAGACAAAGAAAAATGCAGTGAATATACTTGTACCCTTAAGATTGTCAGACTTTGTAAATTTTGTCAGTCTAAGGTATTTCACTGTGGTTTTAGTTTAAATTTTACTAATTACTAGCAACGTGGAATGTCTTTTCTCAATTTGCTATTTTTTAGGTAACTGTCGTTTTCTATTTTTTTCCCATAGAAATCCTATTAAGAGATTGAAGAAATACGTTTAATAAAAGCACTAGTGTATTATCAGTATAAGCAGTTAAGATCTCATTTTATTTACATAATTTATGTATTGCATTTCCTGAGTTTGTACTTTTAATTACTTTTTCTTTGCACCAAATGATCCAATATTAATTGCTTTTGAAAAAATCATACTTTTTTACAGTAAACTCTTTAAGATTGGGATAGTAACATATTTGACAGCAAAGCTCCATTCTTCTGGGAAAGTAGAACAAGAACAGTGTAAATGTACATTCATATGTGTATTATGAATAACAGATCGTTATTTCATGGTAGGTATGTATTGGAACATTTATCGCGGATATGTCGCATTCTAAAGCAGTCTGGTGGAAATGCTTTACTTGTTGGATTTGGAGGAAGTGGTCGTCAGTCTTTAACTCGTTTGGCTACATCCATGGCAAAAATGCAGATTTTCCAACCTGAAATTTCCAAGAGCTATGGTATGAATGAGTGGAGAGAGGATATGAAGGTAAAACTATGAAGAGACCTAGTGTCTAAAAAGCTATCAGTACGTTCTTTACCCGTGAAGAGGGCACTGGGCTATGTAGCTGTGTACTGAATGCACTGGTGATGATGATGATGCTATTCATAGAGCACCTACTGTGTGTTCTGAGCACTGCCCTAAGTCCTTTACATATATTATCTCATTCTATATGTGTAACAATCCATTATAGCAGGTATGGTTGGCTCTGTGTTTTACTAATGAGAACACGAAGCTGAGGGAAGTTATATATACAGCAGAGAAGGATTTCTAACTCAAGTTTTATTCACTATGTTATTACACCAGCAGCCGCTGGTTCTGTCTTTATTCTGGTTCAGGGAGGCCTTATTTCAGGTAATTGTATGTTTTACTGCAGACTATTAAATATGAAACTCAGTATGATGTGACGGTGATGATGTCATTAGTGTTGTTCAATCTTAATGACTTTCGAACTGTGTTGCTTTCCCAGAAACCAATAAAATAGAGGAACGCATACTTGGGGTTTTATCTGCTTGTGCCTGGGGCTCTATAGACCCCAGTAGAGAGATGACTTAAAATGAAAAAAGAAGGAAGACATGATATCGTTGGATCTTTTTTACTTTCACTGACCCTCTCATCCTAAATTTCCAGGTCCTAAAAGTTAGCATATAGAAATGAACCTTTCTTTGCCGCTTGCAAGGAGGAGTGGTAGAATCCAAGCTTATAGCAGAGAGGTCTACAGAGTGAGGGAAGGAAAAGTTACCTTTACATTGTTTTCTTTTTATTTGTTTTTTTTTTCCCTGCTCAGACTTCAGAGGAAAAATTTTGATGCATTTACTACCAAATAAAATAGTAGAAAGCCACTTACTATATTAGAAAGAACATGAACTTTGAAGTCAGACAGACTCAGTTTTAATTCCTGCTTTGCATGTTTTTTTGACTATGTTATTATGGGTATATTATGAAATCTTTTTGTGCCTTAGTTTCTTCATTTATAAAATTTGGATAATACCACCCATTTCACAGATTATTGTGATTAAGTTATTTAATATATGTAAGGTTCTTGGCAATGTGCTTGGCGTACAGTTAGTATTTTGAAAGTGTTCTTTTTTCTTTTCCATTTGGAAATAGTTTCACACATTGTATATTTGAATCTGACTTTAAAACATAGCAGTGCTTTTAGCAATAAGTTAAATCTGTTTATTAATATTGTATTTTCTACTTATTTTGGTATGATAATTGTAAAGCTGATTAGATATGATAGTTATTTAAAAACTGGCTTCCTACATTTGATAATAGAAAATTATTTCTAAGAACGAAATAGCCTACATATTGGAAGATGGTGTTAATGTAAAAAGAGCATAGTTTTGTATAATATAAAAATTCTGCATTTATTTGATACTTATTTATTTAAAATACATGATTTTATAAGAGACAGAATTTTATTTTAAAATCTCACTTGCAGAAGTTATAATACTATTTTCAGTATGAATTATATCCAGTGACATGCTGGCAAATGTTTAACAACCAGCTCTGATGGAAGAGGGATGCAGAGGGGGAAGCCCTGATTTCTAGCATTTGCCAATTTCCATCGTATAAATATTCCCACTATGACTAATTTAAAGCTACCACCATGATGTCACTGAAAACAGAGCTGGGAAGATATATGCATTGGAACACCATTAGGTTTTACAGTTCAGAACTATTATATCTAATCATGCCAGTTTTATAGTTATTAATATTGCATCAAAATAACTAGAAAATATATTAATAAAATACATGGTACTATATTTTACTGTATACATACAATAGATATAAAAAAACCCAGAGCATAGATAATAGTAAATATAATAAAATAATTAGGAAGTGATGGTTTTAAGTATGTTACTTTTGTTTTTAAATATAATTTAACAACCTACTCATAAATTCCTGAAATTTTAGCATCAGTTCTAGCAAGCCTAGAAAGGCCAGTGCCAGCTCACCGCTGAGTCCACAGCTTTATATTAGTTGGGACTCTTTGGTTGCAGTTGACAAAAAGCCAGCTCAAGCTGGTTTAAGCAAAAGAGAAAGTTATTGGCTTACATGACTGAAGAGTCCGAAGGTACACAGGCTTTGCCATGGCTGAATTTAGGGGCTCAGATTATGTGCTCAGTAATTACTCTTCCCATCCCCTGTCTTGCTCTACCCTACTTGGCTTCCTTTGTGGGCAGGCTCTTCCATGAGGCAACACAGACGACCCTAGAAGTTCTATGTTACTGGCCTTTATAGCCTCTATTTCAGAAAGACAGGGATCCTTTTGTTTTCAGGTCCATCTCAGTCCTAAAGTAAGCCTTGCTTACATCACCTGCCCTCTTCTGAGTTATGTCTGTACTTAGGGGATTAGGGTAGGAGTCCTGGTGGTGCAGTGGTTAAGTGCTCGACTGCTAACCGAAAGATTGGCAGTTCAGTCCCACCAGCAGCTCCTTGGGAAAAAGTTGTGGCAGGCTGCTTCCAGAAAGATTACAGCCTCGGAAACCCCATGGGGCTGTTTTGCTGTGTCCTGTAGGGTTGCTTTGAGTCGGAGGTGACTCAGCGGCAGTGGGTTTTGGTAGGGGCTTGGGGAACTCTGACCAGTTTGGGTTTTGTTTTCACCCAAGAGATGGGAGAAATGGAGACCCTGACTGACAGCCCACCAGGAGTGGGGAGAGTTACTACCCTAAAATCAAAGTATTGTTCACCAAAGAAGAGGAAAGGGAGGGAAAGCTAAAACAGCAGATGTCCACCACATTCTGTTTATGTGTATACTTTAATTTTTAAGACTCTGTTGAGGAATACAGGCATGAGGGGCCAGAAGACAGTCTTCCTCATCACGGACACTCAGATTAAAGAGGAAGCTTTTCTAGAAGATATTGATAGTGTGCTCAACACCGGAGAAGTGCCGAACATTTTTGCCGCGGACGAAAAACAAGAAGTGATGGAGGTAAGTGCTTTTCAGGTAGTGCAGCTCCCAGCGCAGAAATTTTCTTACCTTGAAACCTTTTTCGTGCTCTTCAAGATAAATTTAGCTTTTGTAGAGGATTTTGGTAATTAAAAATTTAAGTATATTATTTTAATGCATCGTATTTTGGTGAATTTTAAATGGCCTCTTCCACAGCAATGAGGCAGAATTTTTATTGTATGATTTTTTTTCTTTATAATGATGGCAGTTTGTTTCACCTGTTTTGTTGGTGATCAGAGATTTTTAAATCAGGTCTTGTTGTGTGCCGTCGGGTCGATTCCGACTCTATCATGTCTTACGGTTATACTGACGTCAGGGAACATAGCATTTCAACCTGCTTGGTTAGCATTTATGTTTTGTCACTGGTTAGTAAATCTTTAAAAAGCTTTATTAAACTTACTTGTCTCCCAGTTCTGATACTGGATGATACAAGTCATGCTTTTTGATTTAATTAACAAAAACGGCAAAAACAACTGCGAAGGGCCCACCGATGTCAGATGTCCTGACCTTCAACTCCCATGTCTAAGCCCTTCCCGCACAAGACGCACACAATGACCATGATTACTTTACCCACAGAACGTATCACTCACACCTGGATGTTTCATTCTCAGCCTCCAGCCATAGCATCTGATATGAAATGGACTCATCCTGGTGGTTCAAACACCTTGATTTTCTCTTCTGTGTAATCGGGGCACAGATAATAGTTCCTCCCACATAGAGGTGCTGTGATGCCTGAGGTTCAAGTGAAATAAAACACTTACATAGTGTCTGTTACTTAGGAAGCCCTCAGTCAATGGCACATTACCAGTTCATGACCTGAGGTGGGGGAGAAGAAAAGGAAAAAAAAAAATCCCAACTCTCTGCTTTTATCTGGGAGATAGAAAGGATGTGGCCAAGATTGCTGAAGAATGGTGATTTCCCCTAATCCATAGGCATCCCCATACTCACACCCAAGGAATTCTCAGCTTTGGAAATAGGATTTCCTAAACTTTGCTAGGCTTTACTGCTCATTTTAGCTATGGTCTGTCACTTTATTACTACAATTATCCATTGCTTCACTACCTCTGTTCTATGGCATGATCCAACAGTGGCCTTAAGGACTTATTCCCTTCACATCCCACATCCCCTAGGAATAGCATATCAGTGTATGCACAAGAAAGTAGCCATGATCAGAACTCTGGAGCACTGAAATGCATCCCTGTTTCTGTTTACTTTATGCTGATTTTTTAAAAATATCAAAGATAGTATGAATAGAAATTTTATTGTTTTCTTTCCATGCTCAATGCACCATCCTGTGTGTCCCACTTTGGCGACGACTGCCCTGGTTGCCTTACCTCATGCCTCTGATCAAGATTTCACTTTAAACGTCACTCCTGATAGCTGACCTGTACAGCTTGGCCCTGACTATGCCCCAAGGGCACCTCCTTTAGACCCAGCACATTTCTCTGACTCCAGCATCAGAGTTCTCGCCTCAGAGCTCCATTTCCACACTACTTTTTCCACTGTTCTACTTGCACTCCTTGCACAAGTAATCTGCTGGAATTCTTTCTCAGATGTAGCAGCGACTTCTTATTTTCCACATTTGATGATCTTAGTTCCTTTTTTTTCGATTCCTGTTCATGTTTGAGATAATATGTATTCCGTCTTTTTAAACTCTGCTTTCCCTTGACTGTTTGTTTGCTATCTCTCTAATTCAGTAACTGCTCTTCATTCTTCCACCCTAGAACTCTCAAAGTATGCATATACACAAACACACACACACATTACTCTCTCCCATGGACAGCTCATCCACTCTAGAAGGTTCAACTATTATTTTTATGTAAATAACTTCTCTATTTAAATTGACATCCTGGCCCTTTCCAGAACTCCTGTTTTATAGTTCTAACCATCTGTTGGCTTTCTCTATTTGAATGTCCCACTAATAACTCAAAGCTAATACTGTTTGAACATAATTTCATAGACTGACATTGATTATAATAATAATAATTTGAGAACTACTGCCATAATATATATACAGAGAGTCTGTTTACAGTTTTCTATAAGTATAGCTATCACATAATGGAGGGTATATAGGAAATTCTCTTAGAAACAAATTCATCGTAGTCACAGCTGAAATTATATGATTATTGTGACTACCCCCTATATTTGATACTGAACAAATTTTAAATCTGTTTGTAATATAATTTATTGACTATGAAGCCTTTTACACTCTGGACAAGGAGAAAGGTAGCATATAAAATAAAAGCTAATTGGTATTGGGCACTCCCCTATGTGGCAGGAACTATTCTAAGTGTTCACATGTAATAGCTCATTTAATCCCTCACTAACCCTCTGAAGTAGTACTTTTTCCCCATTTTACATTTACATAGAATTTGAGGAAACTAAGTTACAGAATGGTTAAGTAACTTGCACCAAGGCCACACGGGTTATAAGTGGGAAGCAAGGATTTGAACTGAAGAAGTTTGTTTCCAAAGTCATTGTACCTAACCTGATATAGATGCCTTTCTCATAATGATATATACAAAGAAACAAAACTAAAAGTGACCTATAATTTTATTGCCAGATACCTGTGTTAACATTATTTAAGTATACAAATATTATGAGAATAAAGTTAGAGAATTCAAACAGTATAAGAAGGTCAAAATGAAAAAAAAAAAAAAAAAACCAATGTCCAAAATAAAAAATAAAAACCTTCCTTTTATGCTCTCCTTTAAGTCCATCTCACTGAAAGGAACCACTATTAATAGTTCTTTGTGATTGCTTCCATGAAAAGGTATGTATGTACTCATGCGTTTGTATATATATATATATATAAAACAAGGAGGACGTATATTATGTATACTGTTGTACGATTGGGTTTTTTTCCATTTATTGTTTCTTGCTGATTTTGCTATACCACATACATAGATATACTTCATTATTTTTAAGTTGTATAAAATTCCAGCACATGGATGCTTTATAATGCTTTTAACCTGTCCCTTACTGATTGACACTTTAGTTGGTTACATTTTTTTTCTCTTAAATACAATATTGAATTATGTTGAACGTATATGTTGAATGTATCTTGATGAACTTTTTGTAAGTACCTCTATAGGGTAAATTTTTGGCAGATATCTGTTTTAAAATTATATATTTATAGAGTTGGAAGAAGTCTTCTAAGTACAAACTGTATCAAAGCTATTCTATTGATATAAAACATATTTTAAAATATATTTACAAGGGGAGTAGTAAAAGCTTCTTAATATTCCAGTATTGATTAATCTCACTGACAATTTATCTTTTTTCAATTCGTGAGGATTTTCTTTTCTGTTATTCCCTAGGGTGTTCGCCCAGTAGCCCAGGCTGGCAGTAAACATGATGAACTTAGTCCCTTAGCCCTCTTTGCTTTCTTTGTGAATCGCTGCAAAGATAATCTTCATGTCGTAGTGGCCTTTAGCCCCATTGGAGATGCCTTCCGAAATCGCCTGAGACAGTTCCCATCCCTCATCAATTGCTGTACCATTGACTGGTTTCAGGTTTGTACTTTTTTGGGGAGGAGAACTAACTCTTTTGGAGTTTTACTGAAATCTTATTTAATCTCCAGTAATATACGTTCAGCAAACGTTTCTTGATTACTTACTATAAAGACAGGCATAGTGCTTAGCACCAGAGATTGATAACAGATGATCCCCACAAAGAAGTCACACTCTAGTCTGGAAGACAGAGAAGCCAGTCAGCAAACCAGCAGTGACAGTTATAGAAACGAGCCATAATCTTGGCGTGCAAAGGGTGTGTATATGAAGACAATAAATCTCTGAAGTATGAAGATGAATTAGTTACATATGTGCAAAGATAGAAGGGTGGGGAGAGCATGGCTCATTTGGGCAACTGCAAAGAGTTTGGTATAGCAGGCTGGCAATGAGGAAGACAGGGGATAAGCTGGAGCTTTGGATAAGTGCCAGTTTATAAAGGGGTTGGTAAGGTGTGCCTACGAATTTGGTTTTATCCCAAAGATATTGCAGAGTATTAATATATTTTTAGCGAATCTATATTTTAGGAAAAAGCCTCTTGGAGACTGAGTGGTAGATGAATTGGAGTGGGACAAAACAAGAGGCAGGAATTTTAGTTATGCCAGCAGCAATGATGAAGGCCATTGCTTCACTTAACCTTAAGGCAAATTGTTGTTGCCTGTATGAGACCATCAAATATTTATACCATTGAGAACAATAGCTCATGGTGCCTTCTATTTAACTGTTTTATGCCCGATAGAATGTGTGCTGTAGATTGACCCTGGATATTTTCTTTTAAAAGGAAATTTCTGATACTAATTTATGTTATTCTCTTTTGCCTGTTTGTTATCAATTGCACATTTGAAAAACAAACTCTGCCCATTTGAGGATTGCACATAGATTTAGCTGGTGAATGTTTTTGTATTAATACAACAATAAAAGCTATGTGGAATGGTTTTGGTTTATACAAACTCCATCTTAATATTGCTTCCATTAAATAGCCAAAAGGAAAAACAAACAAAACCTGCCTAACCGTAGTTTTTGTGAAACCTTATAAATACAATTCTACTACTTCTGGATACCTTTTTCATAACCATAAGACTTTCAGTTCTATTATAAGTGAGTCATACTTGTTGAGGAAAATTAGAAAAAGAGAAAAGCAGAAGCTGCAAATAAATAAGGGAGATTAAGTGGAGAGCAGAAGCATAAAGATGACACAGTAAGCCCTGGAGAGAAAGCCTGTGTCACAGGGGCTGAAGGCGTTGTTTGGGGCGTGGGTCTATGAAACTTAGGAACTGAGCGTAAACCACTGTGTGTCACACAGTCAGAGAGGCACTGACTGTTTGGATAGCTCTCTAGTCTCCTAAGTAGGGTGTACACTTACCAGGGGTGCCAAAACAATTCAGAGGATAAAAGAAGGAATCATTGGAATGCTTTTGTATGAAGTATTTCATATGAATTGACACTGACACCCTTACTCAGTTTGTATGTCAGATGATCATGTGTCATAGGTGATATACAAGATTCCCTGAGGGATTCCTGCAATGAACTGAAAGTGTAATACCTAATGCAAGCCTCAGTGGACAGTAAGAGAATGGCATAAACTAGCATGACCTGACTTGAGCTCTTTGTCAACCACATCATGAGACAAAAACAATGACTGCTTAACAAGATCTGACAAGAAGCTGGTAAACAATAATTTAAGAAGGCTATTTGGAATATGAATTTACATCAACGGTTTAAACAATAAACCTTACCCTCAGGGTATATCATGTCTTGCAATACTACTAGCTTATGATGGCATAGGAGGTACTGTTGGTTACCTACCCAACAGCCATTTTCTTTACCCTCCATCCTTGCTGACAGAATTCTGATTTTGTCTGAGAAATCACTTTACGTAGCCGTGTGCCACAGGAGTTGATTCACGACTGGTCTACGTTAATAATGGTGCTCTTATTCCTCTTGCTAGTGATTGGTTTATGCATGAGCCTATGCATGGCCCATTCCTTGTCAATGGGTCCTGAGGCAAAATCTTCTGGGGAGCTTTGGGGAAAAGTTTGCTTCACTATAACAAGAATCACATGGTAGAAAAAGGGCGTTTTCTGTCAACCTTGTTGTTTGAGGATGTGATGCCTAGAGCTACAGCAGTAATCTTGCATCTTGATGGGACAAGCCCAAGGGTAAAATAAAGTGTGCTGAGAATGTGTAGAGCAAAAAGGTGGAAAGAACCTGGATTCTTGGATATGGTTGGGCTTCTAAATTAAGCAGCTTTGGAAAGTCTCTACTTCTTATTATTTAAGTCCCTTTGTTTGAAGACACGGTATAACTGGTATTCTGTCACTTTAGCCATAAACATTCTACTGCTACAGCTGTAATTAAACCTTTTTGATTAGCAGGATATTTTAAAGTGAAGCACCCGGAACACATAGACAAGCCTCTGTAATGTTTTCAGTGATTTATAAATGAAACGATAGTTAATCTAGCATTTTGAAAAATTTCACTGATCTTAATAATAAATATTTATAAGCTTTTTGAGGTTAAAAATATATTAATACAATAATACCACATCGATGTAATCTATTAATAAATATGTACACACTGGCAATATGTGCCCAAAACTTTTTTATTAATGGGGTGCTTGACCAAAAAAGTTTGAATTTCACTGGGATAGAGGGCCAGACACTGAAAAACTGCTCTTAATATTCATACTGTCTGCTACTAAGGAAAAAATCTACAAGCTTCTGGAGAATATTCTAATGAGTAGGTGATGATTAATTATTGATATAACAAATTATTTTATCAAATAAATATTTCAAGTATTTATTGGCAAGTGCTGTTTTAGGTACTGAAGATACAGCAGTGAGAAAAGCAAAGTCCCTGCTTTCATGGGTTTGACATTTTAGTAAGGGGGAGACAGAAAAATAAATATATGTCAGGTGCTGGTAAGTGCTAAGAGGAAAATCAGGATAAGGGACAGAGTAATGAAGGAGGGAGCCATGCTTTAGAAAGAGTAGTATGGGAATGCCTTTCTTTTTTTTTAAATTCTTTTATTTTCGTTGCTGTTGTTGAGAATATACACAGCAGAACATAAACCAATTCAACAGTTGCTACATGTACAATTCAGTGACATTGATTACATTCTTCAAGTTGTACAACCATTCTCACCCTCCTCTTCCAAATCGTTCCTCCCCCATTAAGATAAACTCACTGCCCCAGACATTTTCTATCTAATATTTCCAGTTACTGTTGTCAGTTTTATCCCATATAGATAGCTCTTTAAAAGGGCACAATGCTCAAAGCAGCCATTGTTTACTAATTAAGCTAAACTATTGTTTGATTTAAGAAAGACTTCAGGGGATATGTTTGGTTTAAGGTTTAAAGATTATCTCAGGGCAGTAGTTTCAGGGATTCATCTAGCCTCAGTGACTCTAGAAAGTCTGGATTCCATGAGAATTTTAAATTCTGTTTTGCATTTTCCCCCTTTTGATCAGAATTCTTCTATAGAATCTTTGATCAAAACATTCAGTAATGGTAGCAAAGGAGGCAGTGGTTCATGGAGGCAATTAGCCACGCATGGGAATGCTTTTCTGATAAGTTGGCATTTGAGCAGATAACTGAAAGAAGTGAGGGAGTGAACCATGTGGAAGTCTGCGGGAAGAGGGTTCTAGTTAGAAGGAACAGCAAATTCAAAGGCCAAGAAGCAGGAGTGCACTTGACATATTCCAGGAAAAGCAAAGGAACTCTTTCACCAAGATGGAGAAAGACTGATGAATAAGCAGATTTGTGGGGAGATAATTAGAAGTTAAGCTTTGGACATTATAACAGTTAAGAATTGTGATGGTGTACTACTAACAGAAACCCAAACTAAACACATAGGGTTTTTTCTCTCACAGAGAAAAAATTTAAAGGTAAGCAGAATGTGGCTTTTGTGACTTAACGAAGTCATCAGGATTCCAGATTCTGTGTTTACTCTCCTTAGCATGTGGTTTCCATTCTCAAAACTACCTTATGGTCCAAGGCCACTGGGGCTCCGCCTTTCACATCTGTGTCTCAGGCAGGAAGTAAAAGAATGGAGGGTAGGGCAAAAAGGACACATGCCAGCTCTCTGTAACCCTCCTAAAGAGCCTTCTCTGAAGTCCCCACCTAACATCTGTTTATATGTCATCAGCCACTCTGAATTGCAAGGGAGTCTAGGAAATGTAGTCTTTTAGCTGGGCATATTGCTATGTAGAATAAAATGGGAGTTCTACGGAAGAAGAGGCTAGTAGATATTGGGTGAGCAACTACCAGTCTCTGCCAGTGCCATAATGAATCCGGGATTCCTATTAGATGTTCAAATGGAACAGGTGGGAAAGCAGTGAAATGTATCTTCGATAAGCAAAATATCCTTGACCCTTCCTTTATGTTGTATGTTGTCTTTATTTTTAATTTTAGTGTATAAAAATATTTATTAAATCTTTCAGAGATTTACTTGTGACCTCTGTCCCCCTACTTCTATTATTGGAGAAAATAGTATTAAATTTCTCAATCCCAAATTCTTCTCCTATAGGAGGACACTTATCCAGTTGAAGTGGGACTACTTGTCTTAAATTTCATAGTAAGTGTTTCTTTTTCTCATTTTTAGCCATGGCCTGAAGATGCTCTTGAACTTGTAGCTGTGAAATTCTTAGAGACACTGGAGCTCACTGAGGTTGAACGACAAGAAGTAGTTCCAATCTGTAAATACTTCCACACCTCCGTTATGGATCTTTCAGAAAGGTTAATGTTAATAAATTTTAATTGATGACTATGCTTTGCATTTTAAGGCATCTCTTTTTGTGAAGGTTCAAATTTTTAATATGATTTCTATGTCTTCTTAAATATTTCCTATCACTTAATTAGTTAAGACCCTCAGCTTACAAGTATTAGAAAGCTACTTGATCTAACTTTAACAAAAGGGGGAGTTTGTTATAAAGATAGGTCCCTGTGTAGCACAAATGGTTTATGCTTGACAGCTAACCTAAAGGTTGGCAATTTGGACCCACCCAGCAGCACCCTGGAAGAAAGGCCTGGCAATGTGCTTCTGTAAAGATTACAGTCAAGAAAACCCTATGGAACAGTTCTACTCTGTAACACATGGGGTCATCATGAGTCAGAATCAGTTCAACGGATACACGAGTGTCTCACAAAGCTTAAGGGAAATAATACAGCTAGATCGCAGAAGTGACTGGAAGCAGGAGTAGAAAGTCAATCAGAAACCCAGAAATGCTTTTTCTCTGTTTCTCATCCCTGCTTCTGTCTGGGCTTCTCCTTTCTTCTTTCTCTTTGCAGACTGACTTTTCTACCTCCCAGTGCGTATGGAAGAAACTGCCTCTCAGCTCTTAAGTTTATGTCCTGCAGTTCCAGCTATAGGCAGAGACTAACTGGCTGCTTGCGGCTTCCTATTCTGAAGTTCTAGAAAAGAAAATGTGATTAGCCTTGTTTGTGCCCACTGCCCACCCCTAGTCCCATCAGCTATGGTTACGTTAGGGTGGCAGGCTTCACAGGCCAAACATTGCTGCCAAGGCATTGGATGGCAGTTCTCAGAGATAGCACTATAGATACCCTAAAGAGTCTGTTTTACCGCTGTTCATCTCTAAAATCCTCATTTCAAAAGCATGAAGCCAAAGTACTCATGGTATATTGTCTATCCAGAGTCGTACACCCAGCCGGCACGGTTGGCTTGGACAGGGGTGGGCTCAGGCCTGCTTACTTGTCACAAAACATTATGGCTTCCAGTACTTCCACGTGCGTGTGTAGTAGTGGTGTACATCTGGTCAGATCCCATTCAGCCAACGTAGGATGTACGTGTGCAAGGCACACTAACTCGTGCTTGCTGTCTTATCTCCAATCCCCTTTCCTGTTATATTTGCCCAGCTTACACAATATCTTGGGCCCCTTACAGGGTTTGATCTTCCTGGCTTATGAAACATGTAAAAAGACATGTATCTTTCTTGCTGTAGTTCACCTTTGATAGACATCTTCATTGATTTGTGCTTTTAAAATACAATCTCACTGTTATTTGATATTTTTTAGACAAAAAGTTAGGATGTGGTTATGGGTAGACTTCTAAAGTTTTATGAAGTTCAAATACTCAGCAGCTTCTGATAAAAATTAATCTTTTTTCTGAAATGTTTGCTGTTAATGTTGTACTGAATTTACGTCACTTTGTGAAACCCACTGTCATCTGCCTCCCTTTCAGGTTCTTGCAAGAGTTGGGGCGGCACAACTATGTGACTGCTACTTCTTATCTTGAACTTATTGCCTCATTTCAGCAGCTTTTGACAAAGAAACGACAAGCGGTCATGAGTGCCAAACAACGATACACAAACGGACTTGACAAATTAGCTTTTGCTGAATCTCAGGTAAATTTGATTAGCTGCTCAAAATGGCAATAAATAATAGGAAATAGAAGAAATAACAATAGCTATGATTTATTGAGATTGTATTGTGTGGTGGGCACTGTGCTATGTACTTAACCTGCATTCCTTCAAATATTCCTCACAAAAACTCCATGAGGTAGACGTTTTTATGACTCTCCTTTTACAGATGAGGTAAAGCGAGTTTTAGAGAAGTTGAATGCTGCCCAGATTACACAGACTCAAATACATCCTGTTTTATTTTTAATTAATGTTTTGACATTTGAGAGGATAGAACAAGTCTGGGTTGACTTTTTATTATAACCTTTGGTTAAATATAAGATTTGGGATTTTTTAAAAAATGAGTTCAGTGTAATAACACCTATTAACATTAGCTAAATATAAATAACAGATGTTTGGACAGTTCATCTTTGCGTTGTACATCATGCGTAGAGTATAATAGGCATACCCTGAGCCACCACCCTCTTTCTGTCTGCATTTCTTCTATGACAACTGAAGTCTCCCACTGCCCTGTCACACACTCAAAGAAGATAAAGTCTTTTGTAAAGAAAACTGGCCATAGTCTCATGGTTTTGTTTATCGTGCAAAGAACTATAAGGAAAGGTTAAGATTTTCCAGCCCGGACACTTTATGGTACATTTAAGTTTCTATTTTCTGTGTTTTGTTTCCATAGCTATTGTAGCTATGGAAGTGTAATGGCAAACTATCTGTTTAGGTTGGTGAAATGCAGTTGGAGCTTGTTGAATTACAGCCCAAATTGGAGGAAGCTAAAATTGAGAATGCACGTATGATGCAGGTAGAGTATCCTGAAATTTTTTCTATTGATGTCAAAAAACAACTGAAATATGTAAAATTAGTCTTGAAAATAAGCCTTAATTTAGATTTTAAGGTGTTTCCCATTCCTATTGAGTGGCTATCTTATTGAGTCCCGTGTGAGTTCTGTCATTTTTGAGAGGAGGTGGGAAGCCCATTACAAAATTAGGTCACATATATTTGCATTTCTTCTCACCCTATCCTGAAACCTTCTACCCTTCAAAATGATGTGTTGGGCTCCCTAGTTTTCAAATATTCACTTTGTCTCTGAGACTGAGAAAGCAATAGGATGTTTAAGGAATTGCCTTTATTTTTTCTTTCTTTTGTTTAGATTATCGAGATAGAGTCTGCACAAGTGGAAGCAAAAAGAAAGTTCGTGAAATTGGATGAAGAGATAGCCAGTGGGAAGGCTGAAGAAGCCCAGGCTCTGAAAAACGAGTGTGAAAGTGATCTAGCTGAGGCGATTCCAGCCTTGGAAGCAGCTCTGTCTGCCCTGGATACGCTAAAGGCACGTGTTTGAATTACCTGCCGTGTGTCTCATAAACAAAGTAAAACTCTGTACAGGTACCAGGTTAATTAGGTATAGCTCCAATTCAGTGGGTGGTACCCACCCCCCCACCCCCTGGCCCCAGCTACCTGCAACTTGTCTCTTAACAGTTCTCGTATATTGTTAGTTTTACATTTTTGGCTTTCATATTATATTTATGATTTTCATTCAGGATGTTCCAGTGGGGATGGGGTAAAGGGTCTCTGAGAGGCCAGAGTGGTTCTGTACATGGACTAGGAGGCATACCCTTCTGCATCCTGCTTGGCATGGATGTACAGAAAAATTCTAGTCATTTCCAGTACAGCTGTGGTTAGCATCTGTCTGCATTACACTGTATTGTATATGACATTTTTACAGGGTCTTCAGGCAAGACTGGACCAATAGGAGAGGAGAGACAGCGTCTGTTGACTGGGGAGACTCAGTGTAGTGTGCTGGTTCAGGATATTCAGATCCCATTCTTTGCCTTATTTCCTAATCACTGCCCTAACTTTCATGTAAGAGACCTGTCAAGGCTGTGAATTCAACCTGTGGTTAATCCGGCATCTCGCAGAATCAGACTATCTGATTTTCAGTCATATCAGCCCTGTAGTGATAAGAGAAGAGATTATTTTAGGATATTTTGAGGAACTTCCTAGTGCTCTTGCTGTGCCTTGAACCAGGAATTTAAAACCCGAGCTTATTTTTGCTTCTTTTATGCTCTTTGGCACAGTTAAAAGCCGCATGCAACCCTTTGTCATTCTCGTCTTAAAGGTCTATCACAGCAGCCACTCAGCCTGACAAAGCCTTGTCACTCTGGTGTAGGTGACCATGAGTATTCAGTCAAGTAACTGTTTTACCACTGTGTGTCATGGACTTCCAGCACTCCATCCTGTGATACTCACGGGATCCTTGATGCCTTCAAACCCCACCAGTTCAGGTGGTTAATATTACATTCCCATTTCTTTGAGAGTCTGTTGCTTGCAGCCTTCCTGATACCAAGTACTATTTTTTGTTTTGCTTAGATTTTTAAAGTTGTTTTTTTTTTTTTTTAAATTATAGGTAATACATGCTTTTTGTAAAATACACGTAATACACAGAAAGGAATAAAGAGGAAGCAAACAGCTACCTATTATCAACAATTTCTTCCTTCCCAAAATAACCACTGTGAAAACTGTGGAGGTGTCTGTCCTTACAGACTTTTAAAATGTAGCGTGTGGATAATTTTTTAAAATAATTTATTTTATTTTTGTTGTTGCAGTTGAAAATATACATAGCCAAACCTACACCAGTTCAACAATTTCTACATGGACAATTCAGTGATGTTGATAACATTCTTCAAGTTGTGCAACCATTCTACCTTCCTTTTCCAAATTGTCCCTCACCAATTAACATAACTTAATGCCCCCTAAGCTTCCTATCTAACCTTTTGAGTTGCTGTTGTCAATTTGATCCCATATAGATAGTTCTTAAAAGAGCACAGTACTCAAGGCAGACATTCATCACTGTTTAAGCTAAATTATTGTTTAGTTTGAAGAATACTTCCTAAATATTGTTTTATATGAGTTTAGGGTTCAGTTGCAGAGAAGACAATCAATTCTATTTATTAAAAGCAGACAAGGATTCTTTAGGGAATTTCACAAATGGATTACAGAATTGTTGGATGGACTAAAGAATTAGATCATAGGCTAAGCTGCCAGGAATGACTTCCAAAGCCAAGTTGTGGAAATGGTCTACCAGAGGAGCAGCCCCTTTGAGTCCAAAGCCTGTAGAGCCTTCCTGCAGAGATGCTGGCTCCAGAACCATACCGCCTCTGCCATAACGCAGAAAGGCAAAACAGACACCTCGAGCCCTGCTGTGCTCTGCATTTGTTCAGTCTGAGTTCTCGTACCACTCAATGATCTGATGGTGGAAACTGATTCCCATCCCCAAGTCTAGTTGCATGGGAAACTAAGATATATAGTTGTTAGTTTTCCAGCATTTGCACTGTTGTAAGAGATGTCAGAAGGGTGTTGGAGTAATAAGTGAATCCACAGTATCTGTCATAACAATATATACCTTTTTAGAAAATAAGTTTGGAATTGAAATCTACCTTTCTTTAATTCCTTAGATAAAATTAATATTGTATATAAACAAATATAGAATTCTTTGTCTAAATTAAGGTTTCTTAATCTGTGTTCCATGTGTGGCTTGGTATGCGATTATATGCAGATTTTGTGTATATGTGCAAATATTTTTTCTGGAGGGTTTATAGTTTTCATCATATTCTCATAAGGATCCATGAACCTCAAAATGTTTTGGAACCATTGATCTTAATCTATGCTAAATTCTCTTTGGCTAATTCTTTCATGTTCCGATTATTAATAGATATTCGCGGCTGTTTCTTCTCATTTTGAGTCGTGCCACATGAGCAAATGAAGGTCCCTAAAACTTGATTCCATCCACGTCATTGAGGTCAACTCTACTATGAGAAGGCAGCTCTTCTCCAGTTGTATTTTGAGTGCCTTCCAACCTGAGGGGCTCATCTTCTGGCCCTATCCCAGACAATGTTCCGCTGCTATTCATCAGATTTTCACTGGCCAGTTCTTTCAGAATTAAACCACCAGGTCCTTCTTCCTAGTCTGTCTTAGTCTAGAAGCTCCACTGAAACCTGTCCACCGTGGGTGACCCTGCTAGTGTTTGAAATATCGGTGGCATAGTGTCCAGCGTCACAGAAACACACAAGCCACCACAGTATGACAAACTGACAGATAAGTGGTAAAGCAGAGGGGTCAGCCAAAGAGAGGAAGACCCTCCATGAGATGGATTGACACAGTAGCTGCAATGATGGGCTCAAGCATAGTAACTATCGTGAGAATGGCACAGGACCAGGCAGTGTTTCCTTCTGGTGTATGTACATAGGGTCGCTATGAGTCGGCACTGACTTGATGGCACCTAATAATAATAAAATAATATAGTAATTCATTCACAACCATGCAAAGCAAAAAATGATTACAATTCCAAATGAAAAGAGATGCTTTTATTATGCTTCGATATTACTTTTAAAATCTCATTGTTTAAAAGTAAACTGTTCTAAAGATGCCTGCTTTCTTTTGATATAGCCAGCTGACATTACCATCGTGAAATCAATGAAAAATCCTCCATCTGGTGTTAAACTAGTTATGGCTGCTATTTGTGTCATGAAAGATATAAAACCAGAAAAAATTTCAGATCCATCAGGAAGTGGAGGCAAGGTAATAACCGAGCACAGATTTAAATCATATTCATGAATGTACAGAACACATTAGCAGCAACTGTTATTAAATTAAATGTCCACGGTACCAGGGAAGAAACATTGTTTTCCAGATTGAATGGATTTGATATAAGATATGGAAAACACTATCACTATCCCTATGTCCTCCAGAGTAAAGCTAAGGCAGTATGGCGTCAAAAATGTGGTCCCAGTTGCGCCCATCTTCTTTTCCACCTATGCAGGACTCTCCACTATAATGGGACTGGGATTGAATGAACACTGAGATTTACCTGCTTTCCTAGCTAAGATTCTCGAGAAAGTGATATATAACAGATAGATGTTGTTTCTTAGCGTTCAAAAAATTCTGCAGAGTTAGGAATTATAGTGAAGTTGTTAGAAGCATGTGCTCTGGAGCCAGGATGCCTGTATTCAGAAATCCTGACCCCGCAGCAGTGTGATCTTAGGCAAGGTGCTTAGCCTCTCCAGACCTCTGTTAAGAGAGGATAATGATAGTACCTACTTCACAAAGTTGCTATGAATTAGATTAGTGAATACATATAAAACTCTTACATATAAAGCCTCGGAAACAATAAGCTCACAGTAAAAGTTAGCTGTCATTACTATTGTTTCGTTATGACATTTATTCAAGGATATATTTCTGAAAAAGGAAGTCATAGTATCCATCCTAAACTAAATGTATAGACTTACTTTCTTTACAGGTCTTTACAATACTTGGGATGGAGATTTTTTTGGCTGTTCGGTCTTCCATAGCAATAATAAAGAAAGTAAATAGGTTCTCACCTTATCAAGTTATTCTCATTTGTTCTCTCTCTGTGTGTTGCACACACACACAGGTCAGGCTTCTGTAAGCAGGAGAATGGATGTTCAGGTAGTTCTTCAACATCTTTAATCAGCATACGTAGCCTGTGCCTCATCTTATATCTGGCAGAGCAAAGTGTCATCTCTGGCTTTCTGCTTTCTCTTCTTTCTTTTACTGGGAGGTCCTAGGTAGGTGAGGCTGTCTATAAGAAAAACGTTTGCTAACATTCTAGTTTGGAAGAGTCAAAGAATAAAGGAAAATAAAAGTTGATATAATAAAAATTTATTTTCTTATATGAAATTAATATGGTAATTATGCAAGTTGCTTTTTAAAAAATTTTCAAGAGAAATAATCACATCGTTTTCCTTTCGAAGTTTAATTTTTTGATAATAAAGCAACCTATATTTTTATGTTCATAAATGAAATGTTTCATATATTTAACATGTTCTTGGGGACTCTTTATTTCTAAGGAAATGTAAGTTGATATTTTGAAAGTATATAAATAGTTTCCCTAGATAAATATCTTAAACTTCAAGAAAAAAATTATATTGAGCATCTCTAATTGTACATTTAATAGGTTTCCATACATTTTATTTATAGATATTAGATTACTGGGGACCTAGCAAAAAACTTCTGGGAGATATGAATTTCCTAAGAGATTTGAGAGAATATGACAAGGACAACATTCCAGTGAGTGTTTCATTGGATTTTTTCCTACAAATGTAACTTTGCCAAGATGTATAAGATCTTTAGCATTATGCAATGTTACATAAAATAAAATATAAGAAGATAATTCATTTTAGGAGAAGATAATATATAAAGTGATATTACATTTATTAATGACTATATTATGAATCTAGATTCTCAGAATGTATAATACCACTACTCTTTCAGGCTGTTAGAAAGTCATTTAATAAACTATTGTTTAGTGTATTATTGACTTGACTATTATTGACTTAGTGTATTTACAAGTGTCTTCTTGTAATAAATAGATTATTTATTAAGGAAACTGATACACAAACCTATGTAAAATAAAAATATATAGTGCATTTTTTCTATCTGATTTTTGTTTATTAAGGCTTAATTGTTCTCTTTCGTTGTGTTTCTATTCATTCTCCCAACATACAAGTATTTTAATTTTTTTTGAAGAGACGTCTTACCTTAATATCTGTAATAAGTTTACATATTTTGTTCACTTGTGTTTCTGTTACAGTTGTGCTTATTTTAAAACTATCTCATAGTATTTATTTGGATTTTTAATGGCAACACTGTTTTCTACAAATATTTTTATTATGTATTTTTTTTTTCATTTTTTGATTAAGTGATATATGTTGAAATTTTAAAATCTTAATCTGTGTTGTGTAGGTGAGTGTTATGCAGAAGATTCGTGGTGAATATTTAACCAATCCTGAATTTGATCCACATAAGATTGCTAAAGCTTCTTCTGCAGCCGAGGGTCTATGCAAGTGGATCATGGCTATGGAAGTGTATGACAGAGTTGCAAAGGTATTTTGAGGATTAGTACATTCATTTTCTACTAAATATTCCCAGAAATTAAAATCTATGCATATATTTACTAATTAAGCAGTTTCTAAAAGTGATTCCAGGAAGACTTTGTCCTGATGCAGTATAGTCATCAGACCCTAACTGAGTACCTAGTAGATGAAGATAATACTGTGTGTGACATAACCTAGTTGGGGTTGTGTGGGTGATAGTGCTGCAGGAGCAGGGGCGCTCATTGGAGTTGGCCAGACCTATGTCTATAAGGATCTGGGCAAAGGGGAATTAATGTTTGATGAGGGTAAGCAGAAGCAAAGAAAAATGCAAAACATCAAAGGCAAAGAAGCAAACTGAAAATATACTGGAACTGGGATAAAAGAGAGTTAAGAAGATCCAGTAGGGTTAGAGGGCAGAGCATGGGAAGATCTCCTGAAGCAATGGCATGCATCGATAGGGAACCGTTTATAGAGACCCACTGAGAATTCCTGGGAGAGCGGAAAATGGTTCAGAGCATTTTGTAAATTCAGCTAGCAAAGGACCAGAGAGCCAGGTATGTCTTCTAGTAGCTTGCAGAATTCTACCTATGGAAGCAGAAAATACAGATAAAAAGGCAGATGAAAATACATGGTAGTACTACTTGTTTAGAACAAGCTCAGAGGAGAGAATGCATGATCAGGCTGTAACAACTGGGAAAGGCGATGCAACATGTGCCTGTAGAGTGGTAAGGATTTGATTGTTAGTTTCAAGGTCTGGATAGGTATAAACCTATTAAAGAAATAAAATTAATTTTATCTGGGATGTCTTTCCATTGAACATCTTGTCCCTCCCCACAGTAGTCTCATGGCAGGTGGGCTAGTTCTCAACTCTGCTAATTTCTGCATGTGCCACACAGCATGTAGAAGCTGCTGAATCTCTTCTACACAGCACAGAAGCCAAGGCACTCAGGGTTTCCCCTGCCTGCTCACTCTACACTTCCACCCTGCTATTTTTATTCTGATGCAACTGTCCCATGTTATTGCAGAAAGGTTGAAGGCAGTTATCCAGCAAGACCTCCTCTGAAGTCAAAAGTAGGAAGTAGAGCTGTCCACTTCCTATCAACTTATTTAACACATTTCCTCTCCGGGATTTCACAGACTGGGGGTGGGGGGGAAAGGCACATTCATGTATTTTCAACACTTATTATTCCTGTTACATGCTTTTCTCTTTTTTTGGCAAAAGTTGAGTGGCAACTTTTCATGATTTTGAGACAAAATTCAAACTATTTGTGACATTGTGCTAGTCCATAATTTATATAGTTTATAGGTGACAGTTTTCTAGTCCAGAATGATTTATAGATTTTATAAAATATATAGGTATTTTATTTCATTTGTGCATTAAAATATGATATAGGATTTATGATAAAATGTTTATTTTATATAATTTATTATTATAATGTATTCCTAATGCATAATATCTATAAAGGAATTATATAGATATCGATTTATATGCTACACATCAAATCTGCATGTATTGTTTCCAAACAGGTGGTGGCCCCTAAGAAAGCCCGCTTAGCAGAAGCACAGAAGTCCTTAGGTGAGACCATGGGTCTTTTAAATCAGAAGAGAGCTGAACTGGCAGAGGTAGAACATCACGTGGAAAATTTGCAAAAAACATTTTTGGAGAAAACTGAGGAAAAAGCTCGTTTAGAAGACCAGGTGGAACTTTGTGCTAAGAAACTGGAAAGGGCCTCAAAACTCATCGGAGGACTGGGTGGAGAAAAGTCAAGGTCAGGGTTCTTCTCGTTTTAATAGGATTTTAAGAATGACAGGCTTGAATATGTGGCCTTTTTGGATATTTATTACAGTTATTGATTTTTAAATGGCTGGTTGAAATATTGGACATTCTATACGGCACCTAGTCTGGCCTCTAAAACAGGAATGTCAATCAATGTTAGGATGTGTTTGTACCTTGCTTTCAAATTGTTCCACCAAAAAAAAAAAAAAAAAAAAAGGCTAATGATAATTTTTTTAATCTAAGTGGTATGTGGGTGTTCATTGTACAATTCTTTCCATTTTTCTGTATGTTCAAAATTTTTCATAATAAAATATGTAAGGTTGGTTAAAATTTATTTCTACGGACATAATAGCTGACATTATGTAACAAAACCAATTAGCTTTATTGTAATATTTTTATTTAGACTGGCCAGCCAGCTATCTCATTTAATTAATTATATTTGTTGAATGAGTAGCATGATAAGGTAATTATGTCATTGAGAATATTTTGCAGTGCTGATTAGATGATTTTGGAATGTACTTTTTTTTATTATAAGAGTTTCATTAAATAGAAAAAATATCAACCTTAGCAATCGTATATCAACTTCTATATAACTTAAATAACTTAAATACAATAAACTGGAGATGTTCCTGTGTTTTACACCCTAACAATAAACACTAAAACAAGTAGCAGGGCCACTAGATTGAATCATACTGGAAAAAATTATTAGGCAAAATGCTCATCTTTTTTTGTTTGCTTTGGTTTTTGCTTATTCAAGAAGTCCTACAAGAAATGCCTAATAGTCTACTAATAAAAAGTGGATTGTCATTTATATATCACAGATATGTACTATATAGCATTGTAGAGCCGGAAGGGACCCAACCTTCTCATTTTACATATAAGCAAATGCCCAACATTTCCAAGCTTTTTGTTATAGAATTTGGACTAGAGGTCTCTTGCTCTTTCAATTACTGTCTTCCATCATTCTTTATTGTGAGTCTGTCTTGCCTTTGGTTAATGGTACAGATGGGCTCAAGCTGCAAATGACCTTCAGACAACATATGAAAATTTGACTGGTGATGTCTTAGTATCTGCAGGAGTAATAGCCTACCTTGGCGCTTTCACTTCCGGCTTTCGACAAACATGTACGCAAAATTGGAGCATGTTGTGCAAGGTACTGGTTTTCTATTTAATAAGTTTCTTTCTAGTACATTCAAAGTACGTTTTGGGATATTTGGGGAAAAGGATGATAATAAGGACAGAGAAGGGAAGAAATCACTGAAAATATAGAGTCCTTTTTTTTTTTTTTTTCTTCCCCTTCAATCAGGAAAATTCTTCCATAGCCCAACTTTCAATTCAGTTTTTTTTCTGTTCTTTAGAGTTATTAAATAATACCTCCTAATGACAATCAATATTTTAATTTTTAAAATATTTAAATCAACAAGATTAAAGAAAATCTCAGATTTTTGTTTATTTCTTACAGGAGAAAAAAATCCCATGTTCAGAGGAGTTCTTGTTGAGTAAGACCCTGGGTGATCCTGTAAACATTAGAGCTTGGAATATTGCTGGATTGCCAACAGATACTTTCTCCATTGATAATGGAGTGATTGTTAATAACTCCAGGCGCTGGTAAGAAACAAAGGATTTATTTTTTCCATTATTTTATTTGAAAATTTTCAAACACATGGAAAATTGAAAGAATTTTACAGTAAGCACCCATGTAGCTACCACCTCCTAGATTTTGCAATTAACATTTTATTAATTTGCGGCTTTATCACATATCTATCCATCCATCAGTGCATCTTTTTTTATACATTTCTGTGTAAGTTGCAAACAAGTTATACTTGCCCCAAATACTTCAGCATACATATCATTACCGAAAGTTCAATATTTTTTTCTTTTGAGTTAAAATTTACATACAATGAAATCCACAAAACTTCAGTATACCATTTGATGAGTTCTAACAAAAGTATACAGCTGTGCAACCTAAATCTCTATCAAGATACAGAACATAACTGTCACCCAGGAAGTTCCCTTATATCTTTTCCCAGCAAATCCCCTCCCCAACTCATCCCAGGAAATCATTGTTCTGATTATTTTCCATCATAGGTTAGTTTTGCCTGTTCAAAACTTCATGTAAATGGAATCATACAGTGTGTTTGTGTGTGTGTGTAAGGCTTCTTTCATAATGTATTTGAGATCCATCCATTTATTGCATATTTTGGTAGTTGGTTTCTATTTTTTGTTGCTGAGTAGTATTCCATTGTATGAATATATCACTGTCTATACATTGTCCTATTAATGGACACCTGAGCCCTTTCCAGTTTTTGGCTATGTAACATATTTATTTTAACTTGGTGTTTCTACCCATTTTCAAGATACTATAACTTGATAATGTATGCAGCTTCAAGATGTTTTTTCATTTGCTGTAATTAATAGTCTGATAATGTTAGGAACTTTCCAAGTGGTTTTTAGTATTATCCTTTTATTTATTTATATCACTTCGAAAAACTTGGGAAATTACTCTTACTGTAGAAGTAGTTTCCCATAGTGGTTATTTAGTCACATTGTCGTCTAATTTAAGAAACCTCTTCATGGGACCATAGCTCAAACATATTACGATAAACACTATTGAGCCCTTAGTATGCGTCAGGTATTATTCTAAGTGCCTTACATCCTCGCAGCACTCCTGTGAGTTAGGCGTTCTTATTACAGCCATTTTACTGATGAGGAAATTGAGGCACAGAGTGATTTAGTAATTTGAAATTTAGTAAGATCACTGAAGTAATAAATGGTAGAGTAAGAATTTGAATCTAGGAAATCTAACTTCTAAGTCTTTGTTCTTATGCTAGAGTGAAAGGACATGTGTAACCATAGTTTTAAGTGCTCATCCACTCAAAGTTTTATTTGAGAATGAACACCCTTAGGTTGAAACTTCTAAGCTATTAGTAAAATTTAGTATAATCTGAGAAAGAGTATATTTTAGCTATTTAAAAGGAGTGTGTTCTCAGGTGGAGTAGGGAAAGAGTTCTATTTACGTGGGAGTATTAGACTTTTGAGTCTTTATTAATTCTGTTTTAGAATCCATTTCCATTCATTTGATGGCCATTCAGATTTTTTAAATTGCAGTTCAGAAATTGCTGTTGAGTTTTCTGTAAGCCTTAATTGAAATTCAAGGACACCAGAGGTTTCTGGGTCATATGTAAACTGAGGAAAAGAGCCTGTCATTTCCTGGCAGAAAGCATTCCCGTGAAGTTACCCTCTCTACCTATTATTTTTGGACTAACTAGTCACAAGTCCATGGACTTGGTGAGTTTGGGAAGATGAATCTTTATTCTTATAGTCCTTCATGTAGATTCCACCTCTTGCCTAGTAGGCCCAGTGTGGTCATCTATGGACATCGTCCTTCTTGACACCAATATCAGTGGCCACAGAGGCTTAGTCTCCTCCCTGTACCTCCTGGCAGAAAACTCAGTAATATAGCGAATGTTAACTCTTTTGGTTACTTGCTTTAAACTATTTTAAGGGTATTTCAGAGAAAAGATGGGCCACCAGGCCTCAGAAGGTGAAAATAAGAAACCATTAGTAAATAAGGCAGCCATTATAGTCTCTCTCTTGTAGGACCTGTCTTCTGCATTATCTTCTGTGCAGCTGCTTTATTCATCTATCTCTGAAGGATAGGCTGGCTCTGTTCCTCTGCGCACATGACCACTCACTACGAAAGACTCAGTTCCTGAGTTCACAAAATGTATCAGCTGAACAATATAAGCTAACCCAAACCATTGAGTCCTAATTCTAATTCTTGTGAGAGAAAATCTAAATGGCCCAGCTTGGTACAAATATCCACCGTAGGTGTAGTCACCTATGGCTGAGGGCTAAGCTATTGTAGTAACAAACGTGGGTATTGGAGGCTAGGAGTGTAGTTCTCAGAGAAAGAGTTGTGTGAGCTGGGAAAGCAATGTCCTTTTTACAATTAGGACTCTGGTGTTTGCTTCTTTTTGCGTTTTTGGACATTATGAAAGGTAAGGATCTGATTTTATTCGTTTATTTTATAATGATAGTCACTTACCTCAGCACTACTTATTGAGTTGTCCATCCTTTCCTCACTGATTTATAATGTTATCTTTGTCACACACCAAGCCCCTGTGTGTGTTTCTGTTTTCAGTCTCATTATTCTGTTCTAGTTTGCCGTCTTTGCATCAGTGTCATACTAGCTTAATAACTATAGTTTAATATTAAGTCTTGATGTCTAGTAGAGCTGATCTCTCCATCTATAATGGACACTGTGCTGTGCTACTCAGTTCCTCATGCTGGAATTACCCTCAGGTGAAGAGAATTGTTTCACCCAAGGTCATGTTGTATTCTGGGGGTGGGTGGGTGGGACTGCATTTAGTTAATGCAGGGATATAAGGGCCTAACCCCCTCACCCTAACTGGGGACAATTCTGAAGGACCATCCCAGCTTTGGAGCTCAGCCTGAGTTGGCCAAGGCCTTTTATTTGACTGCACTGCAGCTCTGCTTCTCTTTCTGCTAACTCCTGCCTTCACAGGTCTTAATTCCAAGAGCACTCCTGAATAAACTTCCTGCATCTCAGAATCTGTTTTTTAGGGACTCCAACCTGTAACACATCTTTATCTTTTTTCAAAGTTGTCTTATATATTTTGGCCGTTTAATCTTCCCATGTGAATGTTAGGATCAGCTTATCAATTTCCATGAAAAACACGCTTGAAACTGTATTGCATTTAGAAATTATTTTTGAGTAAAATGCTGTCTTTACAATATGGAGTCTTCTCGTGTATTAATATGGTCTCTTTCTCCATTTATTTTATTTTTTAAGTAGTTTCCTTAAAATTTTAACATGCATTCCTGACTTATCACAATCTCTACCTTCGTTCTAAACAAAAATAAGGCCTGAAAACACTTTAATCTGATCATAGCTTCCTGTGTTATGTTATTATTGTCTACATTTTAGTTCCAGTTTGGTTTTATGCCTCTTATAGTTTCTTATTATTATAATTACCTTTTAAAAATGCAATCAGTGCTTATTTAGATATTCTCACATGTCTCCATTGTTCTGATATCCCTTTATTTCCTTATGGGTATAATTTTATTCTTGTTTTGTTTATTTTGTAGTATATTTTCATTTTTTAACTTTATAATTTAATAATTTCAGACTTTTATAAGTTTATGTATCATGCAAAGAATTCCTATGCGTCTTCACCCAGTCCTCAAATGTGAGCACCTTACATAACTATAGTACAGTTATCAGTATTGGGAAAGTAACATTGATAGAACACTATTATTTGACCTACAGACCTTATTTCAAATTTTTCAAATTGTCCCAACATTTCCTGTTTTGGCACAGGATGCAGTGAGGAGTACGCGGTCTATTAGTGTCGTGTCTCCTCAGTCTTCTTTAATCTGGCATGGTTCTCAACATAGTTTTTTGAAGTTACTGGCCAGCTACTTCACATAATGCCCTTCAATTTGGATTTCTATAATGTTTTCTCATGATTAAATTCAAGTAGTGCATTTTTGGCAAAAAATACCACAGAAGTTGTGTCTCCTTCTCCACACATCATATCAAGAGGCATGTGATGTTGGTTTGTCTTATTACTGGTGGTTTTAGCTTAAAGCATTTGGTTAAGGTGGTGTCTTCCAGGATTCTCCCTTGTAACTTTAATCTTATTCCCTTAGTAATTAATAAGCATCATGTGGGGAGATACTTTGATACTACGTAAATACCCAGTTTTCTTTATACTTTCCTACATGATTTTAGTTTTCATTGGTGATTCTTTCCTGGTTTAATTTTCACTAGGTGTTTGCCAAAACAGTTATTACTGAGTGTTTACCAGAGCTTTTCTAACTCCATCATTCCTTTTATATTTGTTAATTGTAATTTTGATGATATTCTGTGAAGGACAGAGCTTTCCCTTCTCCCTCAATTTATTTATCCAATTGTTTATTTATGTAAGTATACAGAGTACATCATTGTATAACTATATCATAGTTTATTCACCTATGTATCAACATTTATATTGCTTCAAATATTTTGCAATTGCAAGCAATTCTGCAATGAAATACCTTGAGAATATGTATTTTTGTATTATTGGAGGTATATCTTCAGGGTAAATTCCTAGCAATAGAATTTCTTGATCCAGTGTCTGTGTTGTTTGTTCTTGTTAGGTGCCAGTGCGTCAGTTCCAACTCGTAGTGACCCTATATACAACAGAATGAAACACTGCCTGGTCCTGTGCCATCCTCACAGTGGTTGCTGTGTTTGAGCCCATTGTTGCAGCCACTGTGTCAGTCCATCTCATTGAGGGTCTTCCTCTTTTTTGCTGACCTTCTATTTTACCAACCATGATGTCCTTCTCCAAGCACTGGTCCCTCCTGATAACATGTCCAAAGTACGTGAAACAAAGTCTTGCCATCCTTGCTTCTAAGGAGCATTCTGTCTCTACTTCTTCCAAGACAGATTTGTTCCTTCTTCTGGCAGTCCGTGGTATATTCAATATTCTTCACCAACACCATAATTCAAAGGCATCAATTCTTCTTCAGTCTTCCTTATTCA